GAGCGATTAAAAAGCTCCAATATACAATTTATTTTTCGCTCCCTGCTCTCGGGCCTGTCAGCACAAACGGTAATGAGCTTGAGTTTAGCGCTGAGTGGTGAGAAAGCCGGAGAAAAGCCATCTATCCTGAGGCTAACGCAGTCTGGTGGTCAACCCACATGCTGCTTGAACATTTCAGCCTGTCATTTCTCTTTCCCCGAGAGGAGCTTTCCTCTGCCTCTCGTCTACTCCCGGGGACAGACGGGAGTCAATGCTTGTTAATCACCGATAAGTGACTCTATCGTTTCCTGGAGGCGATGGTGGAGATGAACTGTGACTGTTTTTTTTTTGTGTGCGCGCGCGTGTGTCGGGGAGTGTGTATCAGTGTGTATGCGTCAGTAGGTGTGTCTGCGTGAGTGCTCGCTTGAGTGTCAGTCTGCGTGTGCGCGCGTGTGAGTGCTTGTGTGCACATGCCTTGGGACGTCCTCCCGACGTGAAAGGCACTATACAAATGTAATTTGTTGTTGTGTTGTTGTGTGTCAGTGTGTGTGGGAGGGCGGGTGAAGGGGGAGGGTGCAGCCACTAAGGGAAAGATTGGAAGAAGGAGCAGGAGGAGGCCATTCAGTCCAATCAGCCTCTTCCACCAGTTTGAGACTCCCCCGCACCCCCTCCCCACCCCATTTATCCGGTGGCTGGTCGGTCCATCATAAACCATTGCCCCAATTCGTTGCTGAGGATAGCCCAAAGTAGGAACTAACAAGTGTGCGAGCTAATGAGTTCCCCAGTCTGGAGATTGTGGGAAGAAAATGAGATGGAGACGGAACTGAGTCTTCGTATCAACACAGCCACTCAGGATACAGAGAAGAGGAGGACGTGTGTGTGTGTGTGTGTGTTTTGACGGTGGAGGGCGGGGGCGAAATTTAAGAGAAAAAATCAGCACTTAGTTGAAGAAAAACTGTTAGATCCCTAAATTCCCACTGGAGTCAAATAACAATTTAACAAAGATTGCAAGTTTAATTTCGTCTGAATTAGCACACTGCAATTTCATAAATCCTCCACCCGTTAAATCAAACTGACTAGATTACTGCCCGGCTCAGTTAACTCCATCCCCTGCGAGCTACAACAATAGCATTTAGCACTGAGTGTGAATCATTCAGTTGCTGAGATTGCAATTAGCAGAATGTTCGGTAAAGTAGTTCAAAATCTCATCTGACAGCGACTGAGATTTAGAAACGCGGCAGCCAATTGCGCACAGCGGTGTCCTGCAAACAGTCCTGGATTGAGTGACCAAATTTTTTTTTTTTTTGGAGGGTTTATTACCCCCGGAGAGGAATCTGCCCTTCGACTAACAACCGGGTTCCTACTTACGGTTCAGCCCAACTGATCTCATAGGAACATAAAACAGGGTAAGCCATTCAACTCCTCGAGCCCGTTCCACCATTCTATTAGATCATGGCTGATCTTTACCTCAACTGCAATTTGCCCCATATCCTTTGCCCCGTATCGCTTGATACCATCACCCAACAAAAATAAAAGTAAAAACTAAATCTCATCCTTTACCCAATCACCGTCATCCCATCACAGCGCTGGGCATTTTTTTTTATTGTGTCCCAGTGTACACCCTATCCTGGGTCACCCCCACTCCATCCCAGTCTTCAATTCCCCCTCTGTTTAAGAAACAAAATAAAGAGCTTCAAACTCGATTAAAGTTTGCAGATGGTTTGATATTTGACACGCTGCCTTGACACACCATCAAGACATCTCAAAGAGCTTCACAGGACATTACTATTGTGTGTTTGTAAGTGAATGTTTGAATGGTTGACGGAGTACTGAGCAAAGACTCCTTTTTCTTTGGTGAGAGTGGCCAAGCTCAGCCCAATGAAAGGCTGATTTTTACTAGAATGGTAATAGACGATGATTTTCTTCCAAGATCCAATTCCAACTTTTTTTGACCAGTTTGAAATTTCAAATGTTCGACGAGTTTCTTGTTGTCAATTACATTTCAGAGTTTTTAGGGCAATGTGACAGGAGGCTTTGCTCAGGAGCCTGGCGAGATGCAATGTTTCCTTGTGTATGTGGGTGAGAGTGAGAGAGAGAGAGAGATCCATTGGCAGGCGGGCTTTCAGCCTATCTGCCCCTGCTCGCTTCAACTCCATCCCAGAGTCCTTTCAACTCGTTCCCTCCCACACCTCACTCAATGTCTGTCTCAAGACCTTTTTCCTCTTTGACCACACTTTTGGACATCTTCCCCCCCCACCCCTACCCAATCCCTCTCGGCTGCCAAGGAGGGATGGTTAAGAGCCTTGGGACGTTCTCCTGACCTGATGACTCTGTGTAAATGTAAGTTTTTGTGTCGTCATGTCTGACCATAAGTACATCAAGTGTGAAAGGTCCACTTTCCTTGGGCTTTGGCTCGGGTTGTGATGGGAGGATGGTCGAACGGGGATTCTGAAAGAATGAAGACCAAGCATCTGAAAGGTCTTCTTGGCCCGATCCTCTCTCACGTGCATTTGGAGGTCCCTGAACGGCTCTTTAGCTTTCTGACCTTTCACGCACACTCAGTGGGACGTTCAGTGGGCGAGTGACCCTCTCTTACAAAGGTGCTGTCTTGTCAGAGTGTGAGCAACACACTCGGCGCCTGAGCAAAGCAGCATTCTTCAGGGAGGAGAAAGAACGTTTTGAGCGATATAATTTTCTCTCAAAAATAAAATTTCCTCTCACAGGGACAAAGCCAGCATTCGCAGGCTCCACAAACCTAGAATAATGGAGGCAGAACCTCCTAGTAACCGATTCAGCATCAACCGCATTGCGAGGATCATCCAGGAGCTTTGTGCACATCACGATTTACTTTGGTTTCTCCAGTTGTCCCCTCAAGGTGCTGATTAGATGACCTCTTCCATCCCTGGTCACCCCATCCCATCATTAGCGCTCGGGCCTTCAGTCTCTCTGCCCCCACTCTTTGGAACTCCATCCCACATTCCCTTCACCTCGCTCCCTCCCTCACCTCCTTCAAGGCACATTTCAAGACCTCCTCTTCGACCATGCCTTCGGCAACCCTCCCTGCTCTCCACCCTCCCTGATCCCCAAACCCCTGCTCGGGTTCAAATGCCCAACTCAGACATCTAGGGACACCTTGAGATGTCCTCCCTATGTGAAAGACGCTATACAAGTGTAATGTTGTATTGTATCTTGCTTCTATAACTTTCCATATTCTGTGCCCTAAAAGGTGACATGAAAATACCATTCGAGAGATATTTGCTGTGCAGAGAGAGGCCATTCGGCTCATGGAGTCTTCACCAGATCTCAGAGCAAGTCGTCATTCAAAGTTACTCTCCCTGCCCTAACCCCAAGCCTTTCTCTCGCTTGGAAAAGTGATCTGGTCTCAGTTGCGGGGTCAGGGGAGCTGTCTTCTGGCTGGCTTGTCAGTTCCCTCAGCGATGTGGGTGTTCGTTCACTCACAGAGCGGGAGGCCGAGAGCTAGTGTATCGCGTGACAGTCAGCGTGACAGAGAAGGGTTATGTGAGCAAACATTGCAATCAGCCCCGCGCGGATGAATCATTCTTCCCGAGCTAATTAAGCAGACATTCCGTTAAAGGGCGGACTTGATGCTTTGTCAAGGAGACTCAATGCAATTTAAACCATATTAAACCCATCAGCATCGCTGTAACAACAATAATAATAATGCTCACATTGGACAACACGCCTATTAACACTGAACATCTCAATGCACTTTGCAAAGTTGTGTTAAGTCTCGTGACTGTGCTTATCGTAGCCAAACACTGTGGCCCATTTGCACACAGCAACATCTCGCAACAAGCCATGAGGCGAACAAAAGATTGTATCTGTAGGATTGTTGGCGGGATTGTCTAACCTGGAGCCTTCTCGCTTGCGAGGTGAGTGCTCTAACCAATACCCTAGGTTGGATAAACACCATTTCAAGACAAGACACCAGGAAGGATTTCTTTTGTGTTCCTTGAACAGTAACTGACGACTTATACAGGTCACCGGGAAGGTGGATTGAGGAAACGGCTGGCTACCATGATGGGAGAATAGGGATGGGATTCTGGAAGGATGAGAGCAAGTTGGCCAAAGGGACACCTTACTCCGAACCTCTCTTAGGCTCTTACGTTGGGAGGCAATAAGTGCGTGTTTGTTTTGAAGCGGCAATCGGAAATAAAACAAGAAAAAAAGGCAAGAGCAGAGCAATGGGTGATATTAGCGCGCCATCTACTGGCACATAGAGACAATATGCCTCTCACAGACCACGAACGTCATTCAGATCACAGACTTTCGCTGAGTCCCTGTTACGTTTCTCTCCTCGCTCTAAGCGGCAGACGTAAGTTGGGGCACGATTATGGAGGGCTTTAAAGGAAAAGAGGACCTTGAACTCGCTGCTCTGGGGGATGGGGAGCCAGTGAAGCCAGGCGGGGATGGGAGTTTAGTGCAGGAGAGGACATCTTACGTACATTTCAAAATCACTTCCTTGATTTTTTTTTGTATACGATTTCCTGATACAATATGAAGCCCAGGACCGAGGCTGGAGCTACAGCTTCCTGGGGCGGGGTGAAGGGAGTCCTGCTCAGCTGGTCTAAACAGTCTGACCTTCCCAACTCGCTCCCAACGCTGCATTCCATCTGCTACGGCCCACCTCTCCCACCTCATAAGGTGTAATAAACTCACCATAAGAAAAGTTTTTAAAAAAAAGTCACTCGCTTTTATTTTGATTTCTGGCTTTTAGTAGGATTAGCTCATTCAAGTCAGATGTCCACCCCACATTCCCCCACCCGCCCACCCCCATCCCCACCGGTCGATAAGAGTTAGACCACCCAACCTCACGTCCGTTCTGTGTATGTGAAAACAAAATAATTATGATTTTATTAGGGAGGGAGTGGGGGGGAATGGGGGCGCGTGGGCAGCGAGAGTGACAGAGAGAGGAAATTCCCTGGGAATTGGTATTCCTTAATTTCCAACTTCAATTGCTACGATATCGGGGGTTCACCTGGGGGGTGGGGTTGGGGGGGGGGGGGTACAGGGGAGGAGCTGAGAACTGTGAAGCCCTCAAGTTCTGTAGTTCAATTCTTATCTGACTGCCCCTCTGCCCCCCCTACCTTTTAAAAAAAGAGGGAAATTAACCCTCCCATTTCCAGCGTAATATTTGGGGCAGCCAAACAGAGAGCTTCAATGATTATTAAAAGCTTTGATTCTGACAATATACACTGTGCTCGGAGGGTAGAAGCCAGACCCTCAGTGTGCGTGTATGCGTGGTTGGGAGTTGGGGGTGTGGGGAGGGGAAGGGGAGATAGAAAAATCACACAACAGAAACCCCACAGCATTCTAAAAAGCCAGAGCTCCGAGACCCTTAAAGGGTTAACGGGCCATAATCAGACGGGTCCTTTTTGATGTAATGCTCGGCTGCCTCTCCGCTTCCGCCAAGGTTCACGTGAACCTCCTCAAAACAGGATGTAGTCCCGGTGCCTCACAAGTCCTCACGTTCGTTCGTCAGCAGAACTGCAATGGCCAGAAAATTGTAATTAAGACGATTGAAAATAAGAACAGGATAAAGAAAAAGGGAAATAACAACAACAACAACATGTCTGCCGGCAGATGGTGGGGATAGGGGAGAGAGAGAGAGAGAGAGAGAGGGAGAGGGGAGGGAGGGAGGGGGCGGAGGACAGTGGGAGGGAGAGAGATGGGAAGACAAGAGCGTGGCCCCCAATAAGGGCCTCAGTAAAGGCAGTGAATGTCCCGTTACACACTGACCTTCCATCGATTTCCACATTCATTGCACAGCACAAATGTTGTCATTGGCTCGTCCGCACTGCGGGTCTGAACCTGGGGAACAACCCAACACAGTCACAACAAATTACATGAACTCAGGAGCCCACTGACCCAGCCCACGGGGAAACAGGACCCGCAGATTCCAGCCAGTCCTGGGGACCCGCCTGGCTTGGCCTCGGCACTTGCTCCCTTTCTTGGTTGATAAGTTTGTTGACGCTCCAGTGCAGTTCTGGGGAGCGCTGAGGGGTGCGGGGTGAGTGGCGGGGGGGGAATGAAGGGGTGGGGGGACAGAGATGCCAACTTTTGGAATGAGATGTTTAACTGAGGCTACGTTTTGTCTACAAGTACACGGAACTCCGCCACACCCCCATAGCCCCCCGCCACACGACAATAGCCCCCGTCACACCCCCATAGACTCCGCCACACCCCCATAGCCCCCTCGCCACATCCATAACCCTGCCACAGCCCCATAGCCCCGCCACAGTCCCATAGCCCCCTCCCCACCGCCATAGCCCCCTCCCCACCTCCATAACCCCTGCCCCCAGAACATCTACTCCCCAGACCTCCCGCCATGTGATCTTCTGCCCCCGGAGCCCCTCTGACCCACCACCAGCTCCGCCCTCCAGGCCTCACCCCCGCAACCCTCCGCCCTGCTCTGGGATCTCACACCCCGCAACCCCCAGACCTCCTGCCCCGCCACAGAACCCCTGCCCCGCCCCCAGACCTGGTTGTAAGTGCAGTTTTTCTTCTTGCATTTGCCGCACTGGAGCAGGCTGGTGTGGTGCCACTCGTCTTGGCCATTTGATGCTCTCGGATGGCTTCCTGGGTCAGCACATTGCGGAGATCCTTCAGCTCATCGCTGGCCATCTCCTTAGAACGGGAGCAGAGACATGGAGATCCATGACGTTCGAGATTGTGAGAGAGGAGAGATTCGGGCCTTTGGCCATTTTAATCTCATCCTTCCAGAATACCCACCCTGCTGTCAGCCAACTAACCCATCGAGCTCTCTCTTGACAACAAGAACAACAACTTGAATTTATATAGATGCCCTTCATGCAGGGTAGTGTCCCAGAGCGCTTACTCTCCAGTAACGTACCCCAGGGTCTCGTGAGATACAGAGAGACCCGTCGGGCTCACTTACTTACCGACGCTCACCGCGTTTTGAGAAGAAGCCAAGAGCTGCTCGCTGGGCATCCAAAAAAGATGGAGAAACCCAGTCTGAACGAGTGCTGGGAGTTGAAACGCTGAGGGCACCCACCCGATTGCCCCCTCACCTCTGCGGTCATCCTGGCGATGTGCACGAGAGTGATCATGCCACTCAGAACGTTGTTCCTCAGGGATGGATTCTTCGGATCTTTCAGGTTACTGATCCTGCTCCTGACCCGGTTTTTGTATTTCATGTCCGTTTTCTGAAACTCCTGGTAGATATGTGAAATCGTTAAGAAACGCACGTCTCGCTGTTGGCGTTGATCAAAAGGGACCTTCAGTCTCCTGAGGACACCCCCCCACCATTCCCACCCCCTCATCAAATCCACTAATAAGAATTCTGGCATTTGGCAACACGTCTCAGAACGTCTCAAAGCGCTTCACTGAGTTTTCTGTAAAGGGTAGTGACTGTATATTTTGTAGGCGAGCATAGTAACTGACCTGGGGGTGCTCACCACTGGTGTAAATGTAGAGAAACAATCCCTTCCTGAGATCTTTCTGCCTCAATCTATAATCTACTGATTATTGGGAAGGATATAGTCCTCGATTTCAGCCGCCATCTTATCACAGTTGGAACCATATTGTTTGTAATCATCTGTGGAGAAAAAGAAAATTAATAATAATAATTCCTTGCTTTTGATATAGAGCCTTATCACGTCTTCGAAACGTCTAAACAGCTTCATAGAATATACTCTAAATACAAAATAGTCAATTCACTGTATAATATTCCATTTTGTGGGCAAAACACCTACAAAATGTATTATATAATAATGTATTATGTCTGGCCTGGGCTAACTCCAGGGAGACTTGTGCAGGTTAGAAATGGAATTGCATCTCTGCAATCATTGTATTTCTTCTCAAAGTCTGGATTCTCATTAGCTCATCTTCAAATCTTCATCAAATCTCACACCCCAGGAATGGGTTCTCGCTTCCACCCCATTAACTCTTCACGTCCACACCTCACATCCACTCCTAAACTGCTAGTTGAACTCTTCGTTTCACTCCTCTTGTGAAGCAATGGCTCACTCCCTAAACCCCAGCTGTTCTATGGGAGTAACAATGATCAAAGAGGAACCATAAGCACATATCGCATATCAAACGCTACCCCGCATGAAGGGCGCTACATAAGTGCAAGCTGTTGTTGTTTTTGTAAGCCAACCGAGGCCCGGTGTAGAACGTGAGGAGACAACCTACCGTCAGTCTTCAGCGCAGCCGAGATCATCTCGATGCACTTGTCCCGGATCGATTCTCCGGTAGAAAGGGAAGGCGGAAGAAAGCTCGGAGCTCCGGAGAAGCTGGGGCTCGTTGGGCTTGTGGGAGACCCTTTATTGCCGTCCCTGCAGTACAAATTGTGCCACATCTCAAGAAGATGATAGATTGGAAAGGTTGACACTAGCCTGGCTGAATGCCAGAGGTTCAATTAACAGGGAACCCCAAGAGTACTGACCAATACCACAAAAATACCAGGCAATCCCGAGGACCATTAACCCTAGCTCGACTAACTACTGAACAACAACAACAACAAGATTCCATTTATTGAGCGCCTTTCACGTCAGGAGGACGTCCCAAGGTGCTGTACAGTTGGGTCAGGACCCGAGCAAGGGGGAAATGGTCAGGGTGAGGGGAGGGAAGGGAGGGAGCGAGGAGGGTGTAGAGAGTCGAGAGGGGAGCTGAAGGCTCGGTCAAAGAGAAAGGTCTTGAGACCGGCCTTGAAGGAGGAAAGGGAGGAGGCAAGGCGAAGGCACTGGGGGATAGAGTTCCAGAGCCTCGGGGCTGAGAGGCTGAAAGCCCGGCCACCGATGGTTGGGCGGTTGGGGCGGGCGATGAGGAGCAGACCGGAGCCAGAGGAACGGAGGCGACAACTCGTTCCAGGACCTTGGATAGGAAGGGGAGGTTGGAGATGGGCCGGTAGCTTGATAGCTGCGACGCATCAAGGGAGGGTTTTTTTAAGGTGGGAGTGATGGTGGCAGTTTTTAAGGGAACGGGAATAGAGCCAGAGGAGAGGGACAGGTTGACGATGTCTGTGATATGTGGGGCAAGGAGGTGGAGCTGGGAGATAAGGAGTGGAGTGGGGATGGGGTCAAGGGAGCAGGTGGTAGGTTTCAGGGAGAGGATGAGTTTGGTGACAGAGGATGGGGAAACGGGTACGAAGGTGTGTAGGGGAGGATGGGTAGGAGTCGGAGTGTGGGAGGGAAGGGGTGGGTGGTGGGTGGATGTTGGAGGGGAAGTGACCGCGGAGCGGATTCCCTTGATCTTGGATTCAAGGAAATCCAGCATCTCCTCGCAGTGAAGGTTGGGAATGGACAGCAGGGAATCGAAGGGGTTGGGAGGGAGTAAGGATTAAGTGGACACTCGAGCCTGTTCCACTGGCTGATCTGTACCTCAACTCCATCGACCCTCACCGCTTGCTCCAAATTGTTGGCAGTTTTTGCACATCCATCTACTCACCTTTCATCCTTTTTATCCGCTGAAGCCCTTCGAGCCGGAGATTGAATGGTGAGCAAATCCCTCCTGTAACAGAGAACAGGAATTTAGGTTCATAATAATAATAATCATCATCCTGCATTGGAACCTCAGTTTAGACTGTGTGATTCCAGGTCTCGCCGTGGGGCTTGAACCCACAACCTTCTGACTCAAGAGGTGAGAGCGCTACCACTGAGTTAATTAGAGAACTTGCACGTCACAATCAGTTCCGCATCTCTGCCCTCTTCTGCTGCATTGTGTTCCACACTCGCACAGGGTTACGACAAGTTCGCTCATCTCATCTCTTAGGCATCAGCTCGGCCCTTGCCTCTGGGTCACGAGATTGTGGGTTCAAGCCCCTAACATTGGGGACTTTGAGTTCAGAGTCTAGGCTGACACTCCAGCCCAGTGCTGGGGCGAGGTCCGAGGCGACATCCTCCGGATCAGACGTTAAACAGAGCTCCACATCTGCGTCCTGCTCTGGTGAACGTTAAAGATCCCGCGGCGCTGTTAGAAAAAAGAAGGGAGTTTCTCTCTCCCAGTCTCCTGCTCGACGATCCTCCAAGTAAAAATCGATGATTCACATCGTGGCTCTCTGATGGGGTTGGGTTTTTCTTCCCAACAAAAGACAGTCACTACACGTGACGGGAATTCCTTGGTGAAGCATGTTGAGACCTTCAGACGTATCGAGGCATCATATAAATGCAAGCTGTTGCTTGCTTTCTTCGTGCTCACTGAGAACGTTTAGGGACCTGAATCCCGACCGAACCTGGAAGCGAGGGAATGGGTGTTGGCTATGCGGTTACCTCGCTCTCTTTTCCGTCGAGGATTTTCGTGGTGGGTCCGGGGCGGCTGATGACGATTTGCTGGCGACGGAGTGTCTCCTGCAAGGGAAGAGTTTGTGTCTTTCAGCCACAGATTTTACCGCAGAATTCTCACACACCCAAGAACGAGCGTGTGATATGGAACAAGGAACCAGTTTGACTCAGGCGGCTGAGTTGGGTCAGAGGCTCTTGGGTTCAAGCCCCACCTGTAATTCCCAGTGCACACTCGATGGGTCAGAGAGCCTGTCTCTGTGCAGCCACCATTCTGGGATCTACAGAGCAGTAGCCTCCACCCTACCTCTCCTCTTTGTCCATGGAGTTTTTCCTTGGCATCGGTGACGGGGATTTGGGTGACATGGAGCTCAAGGAGTCTCGTCTGCAAAGAAACGGGATCGCTTTAGAAAGAAGGTACCCTTCTGGTAATTACCTTAAATCTGGGCCCTCTATTGGGGACCTGAATCGTTCCCCAATCCCCCACCCCCACCGCGTCCGCCCTAACCCTCTCCTCGGGGGCATGATGGAACACTGTTAAAGCCCAGCTCCCAACACCCACAAATCAGCCAACACTGAGAAGAGACTCAGTAGAACCTTTGCCCTCTGGCTGCGTATCTCGGTGTTGGCCGAGGCGGTGTCTTTACCCATCAGGGCCACTGGGTGGCGAGAGCTCAGTCAATATCACAGCGCTCTCAATGTCAAGCTGGGAGGTTCGACCTCCGCATGGAGCCAGAGCATTGGCTCGACGAGACCTTTGACCTGCGGAGTGATTGATTGGCGTCACAGTTCGCCTGCAGTGCCCACTTTGGCTGCCCTCCTGCTTTTACCGGGCCAGGAGTGCCAGGCGAGGGGGTTTGGGGAATGAAGCAGAAAAGAAAGCGCAAGGCTGGGGGAGTTGCGGCTTTTGCAGTGAGGGCGGTAGTAAACTCCTTCACCTCTCCGCGCGCTTGTCCCTTGAGTGTTTACGAGCTAGCGATGGAGGCGAGATTCCTGGGGCTTTGTGCGGTTTCTCCTCGTTTGTCTCCGGCCCTTTATCGGACGGTTTCTCGTGCTTCTGATGACCTGGAATTTCTGGGAACATAAAGAACCAGGTTGTTGATCTCAGCCTGTTGATCTAAGCCTTCCGGAATCCCATCCCATCTCATCCCACCCTCCCACCACCCCACCCCTCCCTCCCTCCCTCTCCACAAAAATCTTTAAGAGTCTCACCCATCAGCTTCTTCCAGTTTCTGATGAGCACCTTGGAGAGAGAGACAATCTCCTCGTCCGAGCTGTGTTTCCGGACGGAGTTGACGGACATTCCAATTCTCGTTCTCTGGTCAAACAAGGAGAGAAGACAGGGTAGTGGGGAGTACGTACATGTTTGGTCGGCCATACGCAGGAAGGGGGACATGCGCAAACAATTGGGACTATTGTGCACATTGGTTTAATAATAATAATATTCCTTGCAATTGATATAGCGCCTCGTTACATCTTTGAGACGTCTCAAAGCGCTTCACAGAATATATTGGCTGTATATATTTTGTGGGCGAAACGTGCAAACCGCGTGCAAACACTACGGTCTATCAGGCGGCTTGTGCAAACCATGTGTAAATGCTGATATCTATTAGATAAACCATGCACAGTGAGACAGAGAGGGGAGACCGAAGGAGAGAAATGAAAGGGTCGCAGAAATCAAGATAGATTCAGGAAGTGACGGGGGCAGGATGTAAGAGGAACGCAGAGAAATATCAGAGACGGAGACTGTGAGAAAAAAAACCATGCAAAACTACAGGAAATTTAAGAGGAAGAGGGCAGTGGATGTTGTGACAGGAAGTGACAGAGAACTGCGAAAGAGAAAAAGTGTGTGTGTGTGTGTGTGTGAGGAAAGAGGAGAGAGAGAGAGAGATAGAAAGAGAGTGCGGGTGAGAGTGAGAGTGAGAAAGAAGGCATGTGTGAGAGCGAGCGAGCGAGAGAGAAAGAAAAACGTGCGTTGAGCGAGAGACTCCTTGGCTGGTTTGGTGTGTCTGCTGTGTTGTGAGAATGCAGCAGATGTTACTGATACAGAAAGGCGTCCGATCCAACAGCGCGATTCAACCGTGCATTCCTTCCCTTGTTTACCATGGCCGTCTGTCTCCCTGCCGACCAGGCAGCAAGCCCACTGTGGGGCGGATTGCGGGGAAGAGACATGCCACTCGTTGCCACCGGCTGAGCCACCGTCAGCTCCCCACACCCCACCACCCTCCACCCCACCAAGTTCCCCCCACGCTCTGGGTTGGAGGGGTTAGAGCCTACAGACATTACTCTGTAGGCTCTGCCATTGGGAGGCGCTGCCAGAGCCTTCGAGGTGCACATTGCTGATGACTGCGCTGGTGTCAGGCCAATGGCGGGAGCCCCCAGAAAGGAAAGCAAGGCCAAGGGAAGAGGCAGACAAAACACCACCTCAGGGAAAGAGCGATAAATAATTGCGTCCAGTTAAAAAAATATATTATTATTACCTGCAGTAACTTCAAGGTCATCTGAGTTGATTTTAGTTTCTGCAACAGCACCAAAGCTCCGTCCTACACCAGAATGGAGAGAGAGATTAGCCAAATTAGTCTCTCATTAAATCGTTGAACCCCCTCCCCCCCCCCGCAACCCACGTTCAGTCATTTCAGTCAAAACCACAGAGGTAAGTGTGTGATCCCGGGCTTTGTTGGGGTCGATTACAATGCAGTCGTACGGATTTCACACAACTACTCCCTGAAGTCAAACTGCTCTCCCTTCACGTGAACCGCGACTTTCTACGATCTCCAAAAACAAAATGATTTCAGACGAAACTTCTCATGGTGCCCTTCTCCTTCTGCCCACGCTAATACTGCGGTTAGTGCCCTCTCGTTACTGGAATGGTCTCTCTCTCTCGATTTGCCTGATCAAAACCATCGATCCATTGGAAACCCTCAATCTGAGCTTCCTCCTTACACGTTCACCTCCAGGAACCGCTATAACCAGAAACACTCGTTCCTCACTCCAGGCCGGTGAATCTCTCCCTCACCCTGGGTCCCCTTTCTGCAACAGGGTGTTCGAGGCTACAGGAAACACTCCCAACAGCTGTGTCTGTCTGTCTGTCTGTCTGGCTGGCTGGCATCCTCAGCCTGAGAAACTATTTCCCCCAAATGATCCATCCTTGCACACAGATAGCTCCCCGGAGACCGAGATCTGTCGCAAACCGACTGGCACCTTTTGCACGTGTCGACCAGGACACCGGGAGAGAGAGAAACTCCCTTCTCTTTCCGAATAGCGCCACGGGATCTTTAACAGCCACCTGCGCACGCAAACGGGACCTCGGTTTAACGTCTCATCCGAAGGATGGGAGATTACTGGAAGATGACTGAACACTTATACGGCTGCTGCACCTTTTAAGTGAAATTTGGTACAATAATGTAGGAGGAGGAATGTGACACCCGCTTGTTTATCTCACGTCCGTGTTTACACTGTAAAGGGGATTGACCGTGCGTTACGCGGGCAAATCGCGGCAGCCAATTGTGCGCAACAGGGCCCCACAAACAGTCGTGGATTGAGTGACCGCATTTCTTTTCTCGCTTGTCGTCTCGAGTTACTCGGGAGCAAAGCCCCCAAATCTCGCCCACTTTTCTAGCTACGAAGCCCCCCTTCCCCAAACAGATAGATAGAGAGGCAGTGTGTGTGTGTGTATATATCCGAGGGGAGGGCGGGGGGGGGGGGGGGGGGGTTGTGGGGGGGCGCGGAGATTAGTGTTGTGGGTGAAAAGCGAAGCTATCAGGTTTACAAAAAGCTGCTTTTCCCTCAGCACCTGTTCATCACATCCATTGGAGTCTCAATTGAAGCCAACATACACTATCAACTCCCCCAACCCCCACCCTTGTCTGCCCCCCCCCCCTCCCCCTCCACTCCAAAATAAACCCCAGACAAATACAGTGCAAACACACGGAGCATTGCACTGATCGGCACTTTGAAAAAAGCGGATCCGAAGCTTTATTTTTTTTTAAAAAATGAATTTAATTATATTTTTGATAGATCGGAAACGGATTGATTTCAAGTTATTTACTGACCAACTGAGTCGAGAGGTTTATTTGGCGTGAAGTTTTATGCGCAAACTTAGTTTACTCCCTCACTGGTTTATTTTAGATTAAAAAAAAATAGAGATTTCCATGCCAGAAAAAAGTTTGGGGCATCAAAAAAAAAGTTGCAGAAAACGCAGCGTTTTCACAGCTGTCCTGAAACTCACACGCTTGTCAGTCTCACAGACTAAACATACAACACACATACACACACACGATACATACAGAGACACACACAACATAGACACGCAGACATACACCACACACAGACATACAGCAAACACACAGAGACACACACAGACATACAGCACACAGAGAGACACACAGAGACATACAGCGCTCACAGAGAGACACACACAGACATACAGCGCTCACAGAGAGACACAGAGACATACAGCGCTCACAGAGAGACACACAGAGACATACAGCGCTCACAGAGAGACACACAGAGACATACAGTACACAGAGAGACACACACAGACATACAGCACACAGAGAGAGACACACACAGACATACAGCACACACAGAGAGACACACAGAGACATACAGTACACAGAGAGACACACAGAGACATACAGCGCTCACAGAGAAACACACACAGACATACAGTACACACAGAGAGACACACAGAGACATACAGCACACAGAGAGAGACACACACAGACATACAGTACACACAGAGAGACACACAGAGACATACAGCACACAGAGAGACACACAGAGACATACAGCACACAGAGAGAGACACACACAGACATACAGTACACACAGAGAGACACACAGAGACATACAGCACACAGAGAGACACACAGAGACATACAGCACACAGAGAGAGACACATACAGACATACAGCACACAGACACACAGAGACATACAGCACACAGAGAGACACACAGAAACATACAGCGCTCACAGAGAGACACACAGAGACATACAGTACACACAGAGAGACACACAGAGACATACAGTGCACACAGAGACATACACACAGAGACACACAGACATACACACAGAGACACACAGACATACACACACAGAGACATACACACACACACACAGAGACACACAGACATACACACACACAGACACACAGACATACAGTGCACACAGAGAGACACACACAACACACTCACACACACAGCACAGAGAGACACACACACCGACAGACAGAGAGACACAGTACACACAGAGCACAACACTCCCTCTCACACACAGACGGACGCTCCGACACTCGCAGTGCGCACTCCTCTCCGGACGGAGGACCGATGGATGAGTTGACCGATGGACTGATTTGCTCACCGTGTGTTTACGAGACACCATTTTATCCAACTTTTTCGCAGTCCTGATCAGCTCCTCCTCTGTCTCCATAACTCTCCCCTCTCTGTACCTCTCTCTGTGTCTCTCTCCTCCTCTTTCGCTGCGCTTCGCTCCCCTTTACGAACGCTGCGCTCCCACCACCACCCACTTTGCTCAGTGCCCCCCACACCCCCTCTCTCCCCCCTCTCCCCCCCCACCCCCCCTCTCTCCCCCCACACCCCCTCTCTCCCCCCACACCCCCCTCTCTCCCCCACACCCCCTCTCTCCCCCCACACCCCCTCTCTCCCCCCACACCCCCCTCTCTCCCCCTCCACACCCCCTCCTCCCCACACCCACTTCTCCCCCACACCCCCTCTCTCCCCCCACACCCCCCTCTCTCCCCCCCACACCCCCTCCTCCCCCCACACCCCTCTCTCCCCCTCTCACACCCCCTCCTCCCCCACACCCCCCTCTCTCCCCCTCTCACACCCCCTCCTCCCCCCACACCCCCTCTCTCCCCCCACACCCCCTCTCTCCCCTCCTCCCACACCCCCTCTCACACCCCCTCCTCCCCCCACACCCCCCTCTCTCCCCCTCCCACACCCCCTCCTCCCCCCACACCCCCTCTCTCCCCCTCTCACACCCCCTCCTCCCCCACACCCCCTCTCTCCCCACACCCCCTCTCCCCCCCCTCTCCCCCTCCCACACCCCCCTCTCTCCCCCCTCTCCCCCTCCCACCCCCTCTCCCCCTCCCACACCCCCAACTTTTTTGTTGTTGTTGCTCCAAAACTTTTGCGTTGGGGAAAAAGTTTTTCTGGCGCTTCCCTGAGTTATGCAGAGAGAGAGAGAGGGGGTGGGGGGGGGGGGGGAAGAGGCGTGTCTCTCTCTCTCCTCTTTCCTCTTTCCCCTCTTTCTCTCTTTCCTCCTTCTCCTCTTTCTCCTCTCTTTCTCTCTCCTCTCTCTCCTCTTTCTCTCTCTCTTTCTGTCCTCTCTCCTCTTTCTTTCTCCTCTTTCTCTCTCTCCTCTTTCTCTTCTCTTTCTCTTTCTCTCTCTCTCTCTCTCTCTGGCAAAAAAAAAAGACTTGAGATGAACTTTCTGATGGAAACAGATGCTGTGAAACCTCAACACATGGCAACCAAAGCCACCAGAGGGACAGAGACAGACAGACAGAGAGAGAGAGAGACACAAATAACTACACCAGAGCTAAATTGGGACACACACACACACACACACACACAACATACATGTCAAGGAGAAGGGAAAGGGAAGCTGAGCAGTTTGGCTCTCTGTGTGACTTGTTTTCTTTGGTGGATCTGGTTTGCCTCTAACACACACACCCACACACACGTCCACCCGCTTCGCGCTCAAAGACTCTCCAAAACCAGTCTAAGAGTCCGCATTTACGCAGAGACTTCCACTGTAGGGTCTCGGAGGGATTCACGCGACCCTGAGACGGTGGTTGGTGGGTGGGTGGGTGGGGGAAGTGGGTCGGGGGGAAGTGATTGTAAATCTCTCTTTTCCTTCCTCCCCCCCATAACACACACACACACGCGCTCTTGCTGTAATTCAAGGAAGCGCTAGAAAAACTTGTCCCCAAAAAACTTTGGAGCGAAAAATTGGCCTGGGGCGGGGCGGTGGTGGTGGGGCGGGGCGGGGGTGGTGGGGCGGGGGGGAAATCGTTCGCAAAGGAAAGCAAAACAAGACTTGAAATCCTTCTTCTTTGACGGCGCTTGCAGCCACCTCTACACCCCCACCTCGGCTCGGAGTCAGCCTCCGCTGCTGTTAAGCGCTCGTTGGGACGCTATCCTGCGTGGAGGGCGCTATACAAGTGCAAGCTGTTCTGGGTGTAAGCGCGGTCGAAGGGGAAGGGGGTCTGAAAATGGGGAAGGAGGAGGGGGCGAGGCGGAGGGATTGATCGAGGGAAGAGCGTTTGCAGAGTTTTGGGGGGCGCAGTGGCTGAGAGCGGAGGGCACGAGGCACACGCAGGAGACCGGTGCCAGCCGAGGAGAGGTGGCGGGTGGCGGAGCAGGCAGTAAGCAGGTCGGAGAGGTGGAGAGGTGCCAGGGCGTGAAGAGATTTGTAGATGAGTCTCACTTATGTGGGCCACCTACACATGGAAATCACCCGTGTGTGGAATGGAATATATTCTCTCTCTCTCCGCCACACCTCCCACTCACCCCCGAGGGACTCACTCACTCCGTTTACCTAATCCAGGACAATATTAGGCGCAGGTTGAAGGGGGGGGGGGGGAGGGAGTGATCCCAGGGGTAACTGCTGGAGTCTAAAACCACATAGCTTGCCAATTCTGCACCCTCTCCCTCAAGTCCCCCCATCCCCTCCTGACCCCCCCCCCCAAGCGTTTGCCAATGTCAAGTTCAACAAGAAAAACGGTTGGCATTTATTCCCGTGAGAGAACGTCTTGTGGCACTTTACGGCGATGGAGCCCGGGCTGTGTTTGTGTCCCGGGCTGTGTTTGTGTCCCGCTCTAGCCAACGCTAACATCGCTTCCTGCGTACGAGCGCCCATGGACAACACGCGGGAAGTGACGTCAACAATCATCACCGTCCTAACCATGGACAGACAACAAAACATAGGGAGCTCTGGGTGGACCTTGTCACCTTGTTTATCAGTGTACGCGGCCTGCCCTCCGACCTGCCCAGCTTTACTGCTGCAGGAACCCGCAGGAACAATCTGCGGTCGGAGTCCAATTGAGTAAGCAGGGCTGGGATTTCGGCGGAGCGAGGGACTGCGTTACAACAAGTCCCTGCAGCGAGCCAATAGATTTCTGTTAGGAAATAATATCTCGGGAAACCATGTATAGTTTGGGGACAAGGCGTGCGCCAGCCACTGCCAGGATGGCGGAAGGCACACTGGGTGGTCCTCGGTCTTCGTTCGGCCAGCAAATTCTTACGTTCTTAACCTGCTAAACCCTCCCTGCCCTCCACCGCTCGTGATCCCAACCCTCAGCTCGGGTCCAAATCCCTGACTTGTCCAGCGCCTCCCGACGTGAAAGGCGCCGCCTAAATGTCGCTTGTTGTTGTTGCTCAACTGCCAAATCCAGTCAGCACAGCTAACCTTCACCTGAACTCTTGGCTATAGACCAGGGAGGGAGCGGCATGGCTCCCAGGGAAAGTTTTGGCTCCCAGCCAACACACATCTTGTTTTTTTTTTAACCAAATAAACCTACGCAGAAACGGGGAATCTCTTTTGGTTCGAGATAAAAGCAGACGCTCAACAGGACTTTCGATCTCTGGCCCATTAGAGCAGTCGTTGGGAAACCCACTGAACAGAAAGATTTCACCGCTATCGCTCCTTCCAGTTTCACTGTAACTTTTTTTGTTCAAAAAAACTTATTTATATTTGTTTCTGAGCGTTCTTAGTCTCGGTCAATACCTTCCCCTTCGTCCACCTCACCTTCTCCACATAAACGATAATAATCCTTGCAATTTGATACACCGCCTCATCACCTCGGTGAGACGTCTCAAAGCTCTTCACAGGATATACCGTGAAGGCGGAGTGACTGTGTGTTTTGTCAGCGAAACATGTCGGTTGGTTTTCTTTTGAACTGTGGCCTCGAAGAGGCTGACCTTGGCCCGGTCCCGACCGACAGGTGTCAGGGTTGACACGGAGCAAGAGTCTGCACATTGACCCATTGACGGTTGTGTTGTGACTTGACACAAAGGTTGGGTTAACCAATAAACCAGGTAAACCATGGCCTGGGAGGTCTGAAGGGCCCCAGATATGGTTGGTGCCTTTATCTCCCAGTCCGCCTCTCTTTCCGTCTCTCTCTCTCTCTCTCTCTCTCTCTCTCTCTCTCTCTCTCTCTCTCTCTCTCTCACCCCCACATCCCCAGTTCCCCCCCCCCCGCCCCCTCCACCCGACAGATAGATAGACAGACAGACATTTCAACTCACACAGGAACAAAATCTCTGCTTTAACAGACCGTGAGAAAAGCGAAAATAGGTGTAAAATGTATTCTTAATTACAAAACGAGTCGTGGGTTATCTTATAAATTACACAGTAAAATGTCTTCGGACCCAAACATAAATTAACCAGCTTCACCGTAACACCCAGCGCTCAGCGTGCGTCCCAGCGAAGCGGAACATTGTGCGGAAGCCCCAAATTCCACCTAGCCGTAGGCTGCGAGCCCATTTTAAGACGTCGACACGGAAAACACCCTTCTCCATCCAGCTCTTACCGTCAATCTGGATTGCACCCCCCAACCTCTCACCCCACTCCCCCAATACCCTCACCCCACTCTCACCCCCAACCCACCCCTCAAAAGGATTACACTCACCAGGACCCAGTGCAGATTGAGGAGCAGAGGCGTCTATCAAACCCGCTTCCCCTCAGTAAGTAGCCGACCACATTCAGTCAGTAGCCGACCTTGGCTCGTGGCGGTTCTCCGAGCTACGGCTGAACACGTCTCAGGCGTTACAGCCCCCCCATCAGAGCAACAGCCCGCCCAAACCAACCACACCCTGATCCCCGGTGTCCCACCATCGCTCTCTACACTCTGCTCAGTCTGGGCATGTTCCTCATCACCCCCCCACCACCCCACCCCAAAAACAGCCTCGCTGACATCTCTCTAATGTCTCGCAGTTCAGCTATTAAATAATAATTCTTGCAGTTGATCTAATAATGATAATAATAATGATAATCCTGGCATTTAATGTAGCGCCTCATCACGTCGTTGAAGATGTCTCAAAGCGCGAAACAGAATATATCGTAAAGTGAATTGATTGTATATTTTGTGGGCAAAATGCGGCAGCCAATTGCACACAGCAGCGTCCCACAAACAGCGGTGGATTGAAGTGACCATTTTTTTTGAGGGATTATTATCCCCGGAAAGCGATCTGCCAATCGACTCACAACCGTGCTCCTACTTATTGCAACGTACACAGAGGCGTGTGGTGAACGAAAACTTGTCCTTGGGTCTCGAACCCGGGTCCTTCCGCTTGCGAGGCGAGGGCTCTAACCACTACACTACAGGACGGCAAGCAAAGTGATTTCTGCATGACAACGACCGAGGTCCGCAAAGGGAATTCAACGCCCCACCATCACAACCACCATCAAACAAGTCATGGGTTACGAAAGAACCTACTCCAGGTCCCAGGTTCCAATATCCATGTCAACTGTTGGGGAACAGCAATGTCTCGGGGTTGGGGGAACAGGAGAACCCCCCCACAACCCCAATGGTCAGGGTCGCTTCCTGGAGAGAACGTCCTACGAAGTCCTCGATCTGGGCTGAGATAAACCTCACCCTCCACCCCACAAGGAGAGTCTTTGGTGATCGAGAGATCGAAGGTCGCTGGTACCCTGTCATGGCAGCTGGGCGATGACCTTTGGCCTCCGCACCTGGGTCACTCGGACAAGAGGTGCACGTAATCGACAGGAAACGCTCCAGATCTGGACGGGTCTCCCTCAATGTGGCCAACCTGCGGAGGATCGCATTTCAACGTGAAGGTACGTCAACAAATAATAATAATAATAATAATATTCGCAGTTGATGGATCTACAGTTTGGAACATTTTCTTGGTTCACAAAGCTACTGGAAGTCTTTTGTGGGCGAACACGGCAGCCAACTCCCGCACGTCAATTGCCCAACAAAACATCCACAGAGCGATTGAGCAATTTTTGTCTGGGGGAGAGGGGGGGCGGTTATTGGCCAGGACAACGGCAGACAAGAAATTCCCTTCAACAGTACCCCGGGGTCTTAATGTGCGCCACAGACAGGACCTTCGTCTCCGACCACGGTAGTCAGCGAAGACTGAGCTCGAAGGTGCACGATTACGACGGAGGAAAATTTTAGCGCCGTCACTGTGATGCTGAGCAAAACCCAGAGAGAGAGAGAGAGAGAGAGAGAAAGAGTCAACGAAAGAGAAAGGAAGCGCTAGAAATATCTCTGGCTCGCTCACCCCCCAAAATGGATCCTCTTCCCCCGTCACCACGATAATCTCTCCCTTGGCGAAGGTCAGCTCATCTGTGTTGTCGGCCATGCAGTCCAGGATGGCTTTGACTCGCTTCTGTTTCAGCCTCACCTGTTGTTGAGACGCAGAGAAACGAGGGGGGGGGGCAGATTTTTAAAACTCATGGCTGCAAAATATCTCTGGAACTCCACGCCCAGGTCACTCCGACTCTAGCCCCTTCCCCCACCCACCCCCTGCTTTAAAGCCCATCTTTCTGAGAGAGAGCTGGCCGGCACGCTGGGCCGAATGGCCTCTTTCTGTGCGTGAAGATCTCAGAGGGAGTGAAACGTTGGCAAAGTTCCCTTACTCCACCCGCCTCCGTTGACTGACCTAGCGGTCAGTCGGAACCCGATTGACGGATCACCTTTCCCGGGAGTAATAATTCCTTCAAAAATAATTAAAATGATAATAATTCGGTCGCTTCAATCCACGACTGTTTGTGGGGACGCTGCCGCTGTGCGCAAATTGGCTGCCGGGTTTCGCCCACAAAATAGACAGTCAATTCACGGTCAAGCTCCTTGAGACGTCTGGAAGACGTGATAAGGCGCCGTATCAAATGCAAGGGTTATTATTATAGGATTATATTACCCCGTCCGACACGGGTTAACCAGCGAGTTTGGCGAGCACTCACCCCAATGGATTTCCTGGGCAGGGGCACAGGGATGGGCGTAGTCCTGGTGACATGGGATCCTTCTCGGCTTCCTGTCCCAGAGTCGGAGCCACAGGGAACCTCTCCTGGTTAAAAGGCGGAGGCTGTGGTTCAGTCTCGTCAGCTTTCGCCCCACAAGCCTGGGGCTTGTCGGTCAGACAGAGCGAGAGAGAGAGAGAGGCAGAGAAAGAGAGTGAGAGAAAGGGGGAGTGAGAGAGAAACGGAAATTGAGAGACACATTCACACAGAGCGAGAGAGGCAGAGAGAGTGAGGGAGACACACACGCACACACACACACACACACACACACAGAGGCAGAGAGAGTAATAGAGACACACACTCAGCGCAAGAGAGACAGTGAGAGAGAAAGAGACATACATACACACACGCGCGCGCGCACGCGCGCAGAGTAAGCGAGGCAGTAAAAGAGAGAAAGAAAGAGAGTGACAGACAAAGACACAAAGAAGTTTACAGGTTGTCCGTGTGTGACATGTACCTCTCGGCATCTTCTGTGCTCCGTCCTCCCTGCTTCTTTGTTCAGCGTCGTTCTAGTCGGGCTGTCGTAATAATAATAATACTGTTTTGGGATAGTGAAATTGGCTGCTGCGTTTCACCCACAAAATACACAGTCACTCCACTTTATAGTATATCTTGTGAAGCGCTTTGAGGCGTCTCCACAATGTAATAATAATAAATAATAATAATAATAATCCTTGCATTTGATATAGCGCTTTTCACATCTTCTCGACGGCCCAAAGCGCTTCACAGAATAGACTGTAAAGTGAATTGACTGTATATTTGTGGGCGAACGCGGCAGCCAATTGCGCACAGCAATGTCCCACAAACAGTCGTAGATTGAAAATGACCAATTTATTATTGTTTTTGTTTTTTGGAGGGATTATTATTAGGCTCTGTGTGGAGTAAGGAAACTTGCCCGAGGTTTCGCCCTCTGCCTGGAATTGAACTCAGGTCTCTCACTTGCAAAGCGAGTGCTCTAACCACTGAGCTACAGGACTCCGCTGTATCAAATGCAAGGGTTATTAGTATGATTTATTCTACCTACCTGGCTGGTGAGGGTGCTGGGGGGCCAGGGAGGCTGTGCTGGGGGGCTTCGGGGAGCGATCGGGATCTGAGAACCCCCAGTGGGGGAGGGGGTGGGGGGGAGCTTCGGTGCTGTAACGAGCGGTGCTGAGAGCTTGGAGCATCAGGTACCTGATGGCTACCGGCTGCCGAGGGTCGCCAAGGAACATCAGGGCGGCCTAGAGGGAGAGAGAGAGAGAGAGAGTGTGTGAGAGAGAGAGAGAGAGAGAGAGAGAGAGAGACACACAGGGGATTTAACCCCGTCGCCAACCACCTAACGCAAGGCATTTATTTACTCGATACGTTTCTGCGTAAGAAAATAATCTGTTTACGTCAAAACGCCTCAAAGCTCTCCGGAGGGAATCGCCACTAAGTTAAACTTATTTTGTCGGTCGTGCCGTCTTTAGGGAGCGACGTTAAACCAAGGTCCTGGTCTGTCTGTTGGGGTGGATACTAAAGACCTCACAGAGCTGTTCGAAGAGCGAAGGGACTTTCTCTCTCCCCGGCCAACAATTCCCTCCCTCCCCCCCCCTCCCGCGGCCAATAAAATTGGCCACTCAATCCGTGGCTGTTTGTAGGACACCGCTGTGCGCAAACTGTCATTTCAGACATCTCAGCGACGTGATAAGGCTCTGTATCAGATGCAAAGATTATTGTTGTTGTTGTTGTTATTAACATCACCAACGGCCCCAACGAAGAGCAGTTGTTACCTGGAGCCTTGGAGGCCGTGAGACTCGTGGATAGAGGCAGTGAGGAGCCGTTCACACTGGACAGAGGCCGCTGTTTGCTCTGGAAGTCTGCGGAGCCCGCTACAGAGAGAGAGAGAGAGAGAGAGTGAGTTCACACCAGGCAGCTATTAGCTCACTAACTCACCGATCCTGCAATTGGGAATCAATTCCAGTAACCGAAATTCCGCCCCTACCCTTCTCCCCCCCTCCCCCCCACCATGTGGGACCTTCGCTGTCTGCTCCAGGCGGGAATGGCCGACAGGAATTCTAACCGTGGACCTTATTCTAAGTGAATTAATCCGCCAGGTTTGATTCCCCCACCCCCCCACCCCAGGAATCCGACCCCCATTAACGCGGTTTAAAAGACTTACACCTGGTGAAGGTTTTCACCGGCAGGGGCGGTGGGGGCATGGCGGGCGCAGAGTGGGGTGGCGATGTCCTGGGGTGGACCATGACCGTCCCGTAGGTCTCGTTGATGATGTTGGAGCCGGAGAAGCTCCAGCGATCCTTTGAGACGCCGCTGGGGCTGGGGGTGGGCAGCGGGGAGCTGGCGGGGCTCGACCAGCCCTGAGCCAGCCCCAGGGACTTGAAAGACCTTTGCAAAGGGCTGCCCTAATAGAGAGAGAGAGAGAGAGAGAGAGAGAGGGACATGGGTTAGAGCGAAGGTGACTTGTGTGATAACGGCTTTGTATCTCGGGCTTCATACAGCACCTTAAATCATGGGAGTGAGGACGTCTCAAAGCGCCTCACAGGACTTTACTGTGAAGCGTAGTGACTGTGCGCTTTGGAGGTGAATGCAACAGCCCGTTCGTGGCGCATCGACGTTCCGCAATCAGGCGCGAAATAAACGAGCGATTTTATCCAGAAGGAGGGGAGGTCGGGTGTGGGAGGGAAGAAGATGGGCGTTTTGCCCAGAAAATATAATATACAATTCACTTTACAGTATATTATTCTGTGAAGCGCTTTGGGATGTCTCGAAGACGTGATAAGGCGCTGTATAAATTGCTGTAGATTAAATGCAAGGATTATTATTATTATTATTAAGTCTGTCGGCTGGGATGTTTTTGGACATGTGTAGTGACGGGATCCTGCCATAGGATGGTGCCAAACTTACCAATAACAAGCTTTAAATTGGAAGCATTAGAATCTTTTTATCTGCATTCAATACAATAATAATAATAATAATAATCCTTGCATTTGATATAGCGCTGTTCGCGCCTTCTCGACGTCTCAAAGCGCTTTCCAGAACAAACTGTAAAGTGAATTGTCTGTATATTTGCGGGTGAAATCTCCAGCAGCAATTGCGCACAGCAGCGTCCCCGCAAACAGCTGTGGATTGAAGTGACTAATTTCTTATTGTGTTTTTTTTTCTTGAGGGATTATTGTCAGGCGTGTGGAGTAAGGAAACTTGCCCAAGGTTTCGCCCTGCCGGGAATCGAACCCAGCTCTCCGTATTGTATTAATTACAGTAATAATAATAATAATCCAGTCTCCAACTTCCAGCTGCTTTTAAGATCGTGCAGGATTCTTAAACAATCCAAAGCTGGTTCATCGGAAAGATTAACAGAAGTTTCTAAATTTAAAGAAAAAAAGACAAGCGTTTTGGGGCTCACGGGCTAAGGCCGGGTGGAATTTGGTGGCTCGGGCCGTGTGCGCAGGGCAGGCCAGGCCAGAGCACTCGCCGTTACCTCCGTGTCCTCCTCGCTCTCGTACGCGCAGTCCTGCTGCACACAGCCCCAGTCGAACTCGACATGCACCGGGGAGGTGAACCTGCCCCCCAATGCTTGCTCCACCTGCCAAACAACAACAACTTGCGATTATATGGCATCCCTCATGCGGGGGAGTGTCCCTGAGTGAGTGAGTGAGTGAGTGAGTGAGGGTGGGAGAGATTGTTAATGAGTGAGTGAGTAAATGTGTGAGTGAGAGAATGTGTGAGTGAGAGAATGTGTGAGTGAGAGAATGTGTGAGTGAGAGAATGTGTGAGTGAGAGAATGTGTGAGTGAGAGAATGAGTGAGTGAGAGAATGAGTGTGGGAGCGAGTGTGGGAGCGAATGCGGGAGCGAGTGTGGGAGCGAGTGTGGGAACGAGTGCGGGAGCGAGCGCGGGAGCGAGCGCGGGAGCGAGCGCGGGAGCGAGCGCGGGAGCGAGCGCGGGAGCGAGCGCGGGAGCGAGCGCGGGAGCGAGCGCGGGAGCGAGCGCGGGAGCGAGCGCGGGAGCGAGCGCGGGAGCGAGCGTGGGAGCGAGCGCGGGAGTGAATGTGGGAGCGAGCGCGGGAGCGAGCGTGGGAGCGAGCGCGGGAGCGAGCGTGGGAGCGAGCGCGGGAGCGAGCGCGGGAGCGAGCGCGGGAGCGAGCGCGGGAGCGAGCGCGGGAGCGAGCGAGCGGAGGTGTTCTGATCAAACTCAATGTGAGGGAGGAACGAGGACAGAGCTCGATGGACAAAACACACGACTGACCAGCTCCTCGCAGTGAACGTGGTTGAGTTTCTTTGCGATGTCCAGTGCCGTCACTCCGTCTCCATTGGCTACAATGTGAAAAACACAAAACACACACACACGCACACGCGTGTTCAACACAAACAGTCACGAACAGTGGCTTGTAAAAGGGGTCGGGTTGGCAACCCGGGTTGGTGCCAATTAACCCACCACCGCAAGGCGCCAGCGCTCAATATTTTAAGCTCATCGACAAACCCTCCCCGACCCCCCCCACACCCCACCCCCACACACACCACAAATCCGTCAGCGGTTCAACCCGCAGCGGCACAAGATGGCATACCCCCCACCACCCTACCGCCACGGCACTTTCGAACCAGCTGCCCCCAACCAGACCCAACCCCCCCCTCCCTCCTCCCCGGGCTTACTTACCTGTGTGCAGATTGGCCTTTCCTTTCAGAAGCAGCTTCAGGCACTCGAGCTTGTTGTATAGGCAGCAATAATGCACGGCTGTGTTACCGCTCACTGTCCTCACGTCCAGGTCCACACTCCTGCAAATAGCCAGCAACGAGCGGTCAGTCAGTCGGTCAGTCAGCCCGACCCCCATCCCCAGCCTCCAGCCCGACCCCCATCCCCAGCCTCCAGCCCGACCCCATCCCCAGCCTCCAGCCCGACCCCCATCCCCAGCCTCCAGCCCGACCCCCATCCCCAGCCTCCAGCCCGACCCCCATCCCCAGCCTCCAGCCCGACCCCCATCCCCAGCCTCCAGCCCGACCCCCATCCCCAGCCTCCAGTCCGACCCCCATCCCCAGCCTCCAGCCCGACCCCCATCCCCAGCCTCCAGCCCGACCCCGCCTCCAGCCCGGGGATGTGGGATTGCGGGAACGCCACTTACCCGTTCTGGATCAGGAAATCCACCAGGGGCAGCGAGCCGCTGTCAGCCATGCGAACGGACACGTGCAGCGCCGTCTCTCCTAGATCCTGGAAACCCAGGGAAAAGGTGGGAACGGTCACGCTTCTCCTCAGCGAAGAACATCCACGACGACAACAACAAATCCTCCCATTTCTCCATCGCTCACACTCCCCCTCCCCGCTCCCTTTCCTCTGCTCCTTCCACCTTGCTCCCTCCCCCACCCGCTCCATTCCCCCCACCCCCACCCCCAATCCCCCGCCCGCTCCCCCTCCCTTACCTGTCCGTCTGGCAGTACGAGTGGGGTGGAGAGATCTACTCTCTCGCTGTACATCTGCACCAGGGTCATCAGCTCCTTGTTCCTCAGAGCATCGTACAGCCTCGCCCCCCCCTCGCACAATCCCCTCCGCACATAGCGCCTCTCCATGTACTTGGCCGTAATATACTCCTTCCGAGCGTTCCTACAAGCGGATAAGGAGGACTTAGACTTGACATCGCAACTTCCCCCCCCCCCCAATTACACTGGAGTGTCAGCTTCCAAAGTCCCAACCCGGGGGGGCTCGAACCCACAATGTTCTGAACCGGGGAGGGGGGCAAAGGGGGCGGGGGCCAGAGCGCGAGCAGCACTCACATGTCATTGCTGGCGATGGGTTTGACGCCACTCGAAACGGGCAGATTGCCCTCAAACACCTCGTTGAACCTGACGTTGCCGATACTGACCGCGAGCTGGGGAGCGAGACACAGGCCGGGTTAATAATAATAATAATCCTTGCGTTCGATAAGAGCGCCTTAGCACGTGGTCGAGACGACTCAAGGTCCTTCACAGGCTACAGCGTAAAGTGTACCGACTGTGTATTTATGCGTGAAACTCAGCATCCAGCCGTGCGGAGAGCCATTTTATTGGGTTGGGGAGGGTTTGTCGGTCAGGACACCGGGAGAGACAAAAAAAAAACCCTCCCGTCTCTTTTCGAATAGCGCCGCGGGATGTTTTAATCCCCTTTCTCGACTCTCTACCCCCTCCTCGCTCCCTCCCTACCCTCCCCTCACCCTGACCATTTCCCCCCTCCTCGCTCCTCCCTTCCCTCCCCTCACCCTGACCATTTCCCCCCTGCTCGGGTCCCGACCCAAATGTCCAGCGTCTTGGGACGTCCTCCCGACGTGAAAGGCGCTCTGTAAATGCAAACTTGTTGTTGTTTATCGTCGACCAGAACAGCTACAGACGGGACTTTGGTTTAACGTCTCATCTGAAGGACAGCACCACCGACAATGTAACCTCCCCGCACCCCCCCTCCTCCCCCAAGCTCAGACTATGTGATTCCCCGTCCCCACCTGGGGTTTGAACCCTACAACTTTCTGACGTGGAGGCGAAAGAGCTACCGCTGAGTCAGGAGTTTCACGAGAGGAGCTGATCAGTTTGGGGGATGGCGGACGCGGGGAGGGAACAGTGATGCCAATCCAGAGGAACTCACCAGGAGCTCAGAGGTGCTCAGTACGTCCAGCGTGAGCGACTGAATCCTGGAGTGGTGCACACCCATCTCCCGGTGTATCCCGGAACATTCTATGCAGGTCAGGATGCCCAGATTGGTGGAGAGCCAGGTGGGGTCTGAGGAGAGATCGGAGGAGGGGGCGGAGAGGGGAGGACATCGACGTCAACTTTCAAGAGTGTGGATTCGAGTCGTCACATTTATGTTACAGGAAATTCCAGCCTCCCCTCTCCCTCTCCCCAACCAGAGGAGGACGAGCTTCCCGTAACAGGTGATCTCTTACCTGGAGCCCCACAGTCGCAGCAAAGGTCATTTCCCGCCATGGCCTTGACCTCCGCGATGACCGCTTTGGTCAGTTCCTGCACGGTGTCGCTGCAGCCGTTGCTCAGATCCCCTTTGAAGGCGTTGCTCAGTGCCTCGTCCTTGCTGTTCTGCAGCACCGACACCCACCTGTCAACAGAAACCCGGGGCTCTAGGCTGAGCAGGTGAGTGGGGGGGGGGGTTGGGGGGGGGTGAGGCGGGTGGGGGTGCGACAACTAATGTCCCCACCACCGGGGGTGGGGGGCATTGATCAGGGTGGCCTGGAGAGCCGTTCTCTATGCGGCAGTGGTGGGTGGGTGGGTGGGTGTTGTGGATTAATTTGTCCCACGGCTCAGCACTGGGGATAGCCACACACCACGAGCTCGCACACGCTCACTCTACGCGTGCTCACGCTTGCATTCTGGCGCGCGCCGTTGTGCAAGCCGCCATTTTCACTTACACTTGACACTCCTGCTCATCCTCCGCCTGAAAGTGATACGTCCGGTTGTCTGTTTGGAGCCGAAGAAGAAACGATGGTGTCAAGAGAGAGCGCGGAGAGCCCACCCCCTCAACGCCCCCCCCCACCACCACCCTCCTTGCCTCCTCTCTCACCCCCACCAGCAGCCCAACACCCAAGCCACGCTCCAATCCTCCCCCAAGCCCGAGATTTCACCCAGTCTCAATCCGTCATACAATCCCCTCTCGGCATTTAAGCTGCAGCTGAAAAATCAGTGACAAATTCTTCAATTCAGCTACAACTTGGAGGCTGTTAATTAACAAGGGCAGAAAAACAGCTGTCCAATTCCCCCCCCCACCCACATCCTCCCCTCGTGGGCTGCTGCCCTTCCCCGCACCGCCAACCTCCCCCCCCCCCCACTGCTGGATCAGCACAGAGCGGGATTCGAACCAGCGCTATTTCACAGTCCGTTTCAACGAGGCCTTAGCCTTACTCACGGGCTATCAGGTCAAAGCATCTCCTCTCCTCCGGTGACGGCCTGACCTGGCAAGTCAGCAGGTTCAGTTTGGCGGGCGGGCGGTTTATCTGCAGCAGAGAGAGAGAGTAAAGCTTCTAGGTGGCGAGCGAGCCCTGGGAGTTTCCACCGAGTTTATAATAATAATAATAATAATAATCATTGCAATTGATATAATACCTTATCACGTCATTGAGACGTCTCAGAATATACTTTAAAGTGGATTTTGTGAGTGGATTTTGTGGACGAGCCGAGGGAGCCAACTGCGCACAGCAGCGTCCCACAAACAGTTGTGGATTCAGTGACCAAATTATCATTTATTTATTTTAGAGGGATTATTAACCCCCTCCCCCCCACACACACACACACACACACAGAAAGCGATCCGCCAATCGACTAACATCCGTGCTCTTATTTAATGTTCGGTAAACAAAGACACGTGGAGTAAGGAAAATTGCCTAAGGGTTTGCCCCGCCCGGGAGTCGAACCCGGGTCCTCTCGCTTGCGAGGCGAGCGCTCTAACCTCTACTCTATGGGATTCCACTAGGGTTTCAGTCTCTCATGCTGCCGGTTACTCACCGTGCTGTGTGATATGGTGAGGTAACCGTACTTCACCCCGCACTTCCTCTTCTGCCAAACCCTGCGGATCCTGAGGGAGAGAGAGAGAGTGAGAGAGAGAGAGAGTAGAGGGGAACGCTGGCACCCGGGACATCGGGCCGAGCACAGGGGACATCCAAGACTTAACAGGAACCACACCGTTCCCACCACAGAGAACCCGATGCAAACAGAACTCTAAGCTGCCTCACAAACATGCCAGAAAGACCGGAGATCGGTTGAATTGTGTTTGGACGATGCCCGGTTTATCTGCGGCACAGAAATAGAAAGAGAGAGAGAGAGACAGAATAAAACCTCCCACTCTCACCCATCACTCTTTTTGTTCAGGAAGCCAGACTTCTCTGTGCCGTAGAGCCGGTTACCGGGCAGTGGGTGGATGCTGTAGCCGGAGTTCTTCCGATTTAAAGAATCCTGAACACAGAGAGAGGCGAAGCTTACAGATCAGTCTCTCTCACACACATACACACACACACACACAGCATCGAGCCCACAGAGCAATGGCTCAGGGGACAAACGTGGGAGGACAGGCGGAGATAGTAGGAAACAACCGGACTCTGTAACGCGAGGGGGAGTCTGTAAAGACGAGATCAAACTGGCCGAAGAGTAGGGTTTTGGCCTGAGACCCTCTGGTACATTACAGAGGATGGAGAGAGAGAGAGAGTGTTGGGAGAAAAAGAGTGTGCGAGTGTGTGTCACAAGCGCCACGACCACTGACCTCCTTCTGTTCCACCTGCAGTGCCGCTCGCAACGAGTCCCTGGTCTGCGTCAACTGTTTGCTCTCCTCGTCCTGACACTGCTTGAGCTGTGGAGTCACAAGGGGTTAATCACCGCCTGTCACACGTCGGGAATCAGAAATACAGGAGGACGAGAACTCAGGGACGGGGGCAATGGGTGGGGGTGTAGATAAGATAAATATAAACTATGCTTTTCACAGGCTGAGACCTGGTGGAATATTAGACCTCTTTGCATGTGCACACAAAAGAGTCCACAAGCACACACAGTGCACACACAAGTGCATGCACTCCAGCACACACACAAGCACGCATACATACACTCAAGCACGCAAGCACACACAGACACACATTCACATACACAGACACACACTCACATATACACAAGACACACACACACACTCACATACATACTGATGTACTCTCACACACACAGACATACACTCAAGCACGCACGCACACATGGACACACACACACACCTCCCCGCCACTCCCTGTGTCACCAGTCCTCACCGTGTGGACAGTCGTGGCTAGTTTTTCCACAAACGGCGACAGACTTTCAGCTGCCTTGAGACCGTCCTGAAAAAAACTTCACACAAAGCGCGAGGCTGAGTCAGCAAGACATTATTTCCATAAATTACCTTCAGAGCAAATATTTTACACGGTTACAAAAATGCCTCCGAGATAATAATAATAATAATAATAATCCTTGCATTTGATATAGCGCTTTTCATGTCGGGAGGACGTCCCAAAGCGCTTCACAGAACACACTGTAAAGTGAATTGACTGTATATTTGTGGGCGAACGCGGCAGCCAATTGCGCACAGCAATGTCCCACAAACAGTCGTAGATTGAAAATGACCAATTTATTATTGTTTTGGTTTTGGAGGGATTATTATTAGGCTCTGTGTGGAGTAAGGAAACTTGCCCAAGGTTTCGCCCTCTGCCTGGAATTGAACTCAGGTCTCTCACTTGCAAAGCGAGTGCTCTAACCACTGAGCTACAGGACTCCAGAGATCCACAGGGAATAGTGAGGCGAAGTGAGCAACGTCTCACAAAGAGCCGTGAAGTGAATCTATTCGGGGGATTGTCAGCCCGGACACTCTCTCCTCTTTTCCGAGAGCACCGCGAGATCTTTATCGCCCAACAGGGCACAGTTGGGAAGTTCGAGTAAATGTCCCAAGAGAAGCATCTCTGACAATGTGCTGCTTGCCTCTCACCTCTCACCCCCCAGCTCTGCACTGGAACGTCAGCCTAACTGGGAGCTTAGAAGTGGGAGCTTGAACCCACAACCTCTCCTCTCGCCTCGGAGGGGAGAGGCCGAGTAGGGCTAAAGTACTCTTTCGCTTCCCGAATTGACAATCCTTTTTTTTTAAAACCTCAACCCTAATCTTAAACCAGACCCTAACCCCCTCGCCAGCTATAAACAACACCTTTCTCCCTCCCCGGGGAGAGAGAGACTCACTTTTGCTGTGCGTGGAAATACTTGATGAGACTCTGAAGGAGATCAGGACCTTCTCGAACCTTGATCTCGTTGACTTTGAGAAGATACTGCAAACGAGGCAGAGAGAGGCAAACATTAGCACATCACATGCCTCATTTTCTCCCTCTCCCTCCTCCGCCCCTCAAAATACACCAATGAACCTCGGAACATTCAGTAGTGGAGTTGAAAAAAAAACATACGTGAAATGCGTATTTTGTGAGCGAAACATGGAAGACAATTGCGCACAGCAGTCAGTTGTGGATTGAGTGTGACCAAATTTATTTACTTTTTTTCGGGAGGGATTATTATCCCCGCAAATCAATCCGTCAACCGACTAACAACCAGGTTCCTATTGACTGCGAGGCAAACAGTGCAACGTGGATTAAGATGCCTAAGGTTTCGCTCCACCCAGGAATCGAACCGGGGTCCTCTTGCTCGCGAGGCAAACCATTACGCTACAGGGCTCCACAGATATGCATGTGACCGGCGTCTCACCTCACACATGTGGAGCTGGAAGATTCTGCGCTCTTTCTCCACGTCGTCTGTGACCTCGGCGGGGCTGAGCTCGGCTCGGGTCAGTCCCAGCTGTTTGGCTCGGTCTTTCTTCTCCTTCTCGATCTTGGCGCTGGGTAAACAACACGGGGAGAGGGAGGGGAGACCGTCACACAGACTCACAGACACCCAGAGCCACTAGCTCTCTCCAGGGGGAATTTAACAAAAAAATGAGTCGGGATCGAATACCGGTTCGTGCTGAGATTGGTGGTCTCAACCAGGGTCGGGGCAAAGTCGGCCAGGTTTCCTGCTCCTGGTCCATTTACAGGACCTTCTACCGGCTATGTCTCTATGTGTGCATGTGTATGTTTAGCAGTCGGGTACCTACAGCGCTCTCTTTTGACTGTGTGCGCGTGCGAGCGTGTGCATTGCCTGCATGCGTGGGTATGGCAGCTGAGAGAGGAGAGGTCACGTTCGTTTGTGGTGCGCTCTACAGTTGACACTCTGCCAACAGTCACATGGACATTGGCCTCTCGGACGGGGAAATGGGAGGTTGGCAGTGCTCACTGAGCCAGGCACCCAACACAGGTCATACCCACTGCCGCAGAGGGAGGGGAATCGTTAGCAAACGTCCTTGTTAATAATTACAAACTCCGGGGTTTGGTTCCAGCTGCGTTTCACTTACTGGAAACATTCGGATCTCAGAAGCCTAATATTTGCTTTCGGAAAAAAATATGAGCCAAAATGCAAATACACATATAGTGAGACAGAGACACACACACACACACACACACACAGACACACACACACGTAGAGAAAGACAGAGAGAAAGACACACACATACATGTAGAGACATACATACAGACAAAGAGACACACACACGGGTACAAACACACACACAGACAGAAACACACACGCACGGGCGCAAGTGTCTAACGTCTACTTACACTTTAGCCTCGTGCTCTTTCCACGCTTTCTCAACCAGCTTCTTCGGGTCCTGTAAACATGAAGAGAGGCCCGGTTTATTTCCAGCCCGGAGGAGCGCGGCTCGGACTGGCCGTCTGCTGTGTTGTTGGAACAACACAGGCCCGGAACGACTCAAAGCCATTTGCAGTGCATCACCGCAGAGGGTAACCAGCGCCCCCGTCCACATCAGTGTTGGCATCGCTCCAGGCAACTGCAGGTGCCAGGCCAAGACTGGCAGCTTTTATTGGCACCGACTCCAAAACACACTGCCAGTGTCAACACACACTCACACACACAGATATACACACACACTCACACACACAGATATACACACACACACTCACACACACAGATATACACACACACACTCACACACACAGATATACACACACACCACAGATATACACACACACACCACACAGATATACACACACACTCACACACACAGATATACACACACACTCACACATACACACACAGATATACACACACACACACACAGATATACACACGCACTCACACAGATATACACACAAACACACTCACAGACACACACACATACACACCACACACACTAACGCACACAGACACACACTCACATACACAAGACTCACACTCACATACAGACACTAACACACACAGACACACACTCGCGTACACACACACACACTCACATACACACTGACATACTCTCGTACACACAGACACATACAGAAACACGAGGCAGCAAAAAAAAAATCAATGGGCTTTTGAGAAAAGCAAACTAAAGCGAGAGACTGACCCCTTTGCCTTCCTTCAGGTCTCCCTTCAGTAAAGTGTCGAGCGGGAATGCGATGATATTATTCATGTTCTGAATCTATAAACGGAAAGAGACCACATCAGGTTAACCAGGGGCCGTGCCGAGCCAGACACCGGGAACAGATCTGTGGAGTCCTGTAGCTCAGTGGTTAGAGCACTCGCTTTGCAAGCGAGAGACCTGAGTTCAATTCCAGGCAGAGGGTGAAACCTTGGGCAAGTTTCCTTACTCCACACAGAGCCTAATAATAATCCCTCCAAAAAAACAAAAAAATAATAAATTGGTCATTTTCAATCTACGACTGTTTGTGGGACATTGCTGTGCGCAATTCGCTGCCGCGTTCGCCCACAAATATACAGTCAATTCACTTTACAGTATATTCTGTGAAGCGCTTTGGGACGTCCTCCTGACGTGAAAAGCGCTATATCAAATGCAAGGATTATTATTATTATTATTATTATCTGCCGAGCGCCTGACAGGATCCGAGGGGCAATACAATACAAAATGACATTTGTACAGCGCCTTTTATGTCGTGAGGACGTCCCAAGGCGATGGACAGTCAGGGACCCGAGCTGGGGGGTGCTGGGATCGGGGAGGGTGGAGGGCACGGAGGGTAGGAGAGGTGCCCGAAGGCACGGTCGAAGAGGAGGCTCTTGAGACGTGTCTTCAAGAAGGCAAGGGATGGGGGCGAGACGAAGGGAATGTGGGCTGGAGTACCAAAGGGTGGGGGCAGAGAGGTTGAAGGCCCGACCGCTGATGGTGGGGCGCAGGCTGGGCTGGGTGGGGGGAACGCTACATCCTGCTAAGTGGAGGGCAGACCACGCACGGATTCCTGTGCAAAAAAATCTCAGGTGACCTTCAACCCTCTCCCAGGGAATGGATAGTACACTCCGCACGGGCATGAACTGCCACACGAGCACAATCTTTGAGCCGAGACCCACCCACCCGGTCTGAAATTCCACCCAGTCAGACGCCAGGCGACTATTCTATCTTAATATTCAAGCAGGCGCACGGCCGTGGGATGGAGGGGCCTCACCAGGTTCTTGAAGAGCGCAGTGACCTCTCGGGTGAAGACAGCGAGGTTCAGGAAGCCCGTGGACAGCTCGTTCTTGTTCTGAGCCAAATGATGGCTCCCAAACTGCTCCAGGGCTTCGATATACTGTTCTTCGTTCTCCGTGTGGGCTAAGGACGAGAGAACGAGAGAGTGTGAGAGAGAGTGAGGAGAGAAAGAGGAGAGAGAGAGAGAGAAAACGAAAGGAACCAGATTTGATTCCCAGGCAGGATAAAACCTCAGGCAAGTTTCCTCACTCCAGGCGCCTCTGTCTATTTATTTAGCAGTAAGTAGGAACCCGATTGCGAGTTGATTGGCGGATGGCTTTCTGGGGATAATGATCCCTCAAAAATGTGGTTAATCAATCCACGACTGATTGTGGGGCACTGCTATGCGCAACTAACTGCTGCGTTTCGCCCATATGATAGAGTCAATCCACGTTACAATATATTCCGTTAAAAACGCTTCAAGACATCGCAACAATGCGATACGGTGCTATATAAAAATGCAAGGATTGTTATTATTATTATGACCCGAGTTTTATGTAACGGTTGCTCCAACACTGGGAACTTACAGAGTCCAGACGAGTGGATGGCTTTGACAAGCTTCTTCATCCTCTGTAAAATGGCCTGGTCAGCCTCCAGCGACTGCGAACAGGAAACGGGAGAGGATTAGAGCTGTGTCAAATGTGAGGTTTAGTCCTTATTCTCTCTCACCCCATCTCACCCCTCCATCTCATCCCTCCCATCTCACCCCTCCATCTCACCCCTCCCATCTCACCCCTCCCATCTCATCCCTCCCATCTTGCCCCTCCATCTCATCCCTCCATCTCACCCTCCCATCTCATCCCTCCCATCTCATCCCTCCCATCTCGCCCTCCCATCTCGCCCACCATCTCACCCCTCCGATCTCACCCCTCCATCTCATTCCTCCCATCTCACCACTCCATACCTGGGATCATTCCCAGTGTATTCCCTTTCAGTCCAGGTATGACAACCCAGTCCCCAGTTCCTGGGATATCAGGAGCTCTGTGCGCTCTCCGGATCACTCAGTGAAACAATCACTGGGATCGTGTTTTACAGGAAGTCTCTGCTTGTATAGAAGCCCAGAGAGAAGCTGGAGAGTGTAATCTGACATCTGAATCGTGCTTTTGAGCCGAAAAAAGAAAAACGACAGCTGGATTTGATGTGTGGTTGCGAAAAACTGACTAGAAAAAATCGCCGACATCCTCCGCTTTGCCAGCTCTGGGCCGATTCAAATCTCCACCCTCTCCCCCACACACTTTCCCTCCTTCCCCCACCCCAACCCCCCCCACCACCACCTCTCACTCTCTGGAACGAACGGTCTTCTGAAATTCCTCTCTCTCGCACTGCTCCCAACTCGGTTCCCAATCGGTCTCTGTTCTCTCTGTAAGTGCATTCGTGATGGAGAAAGGACTCATGAAGTGGGGCGATGAGAGAGGCTTGAAGTTCCTCTATCCTCCCCCTCTTACCCACCCACGTGCTGTGCTGGAGTAGACAGCAAGCTTGGCAACCCCACCACTGGGGCTTGAACCCACAACCTCCTGACTCAGAAGCGATAGCACGGCCAACAAGAGAAAGGGGAGAAAAGGAATGGGAAAAGGGGAAGGAATTAAGAGCAGACGGGGCGTCCCCTCAGCGATCCAGCTATCTGCGTCAGGATGGGACGGGATCGGGTTGCGACGCTTTTATACGTCGCCCGTCACGCGAAGGGCGAGACTGGACTCCGCAGCGTGAGGAAGAGGAAGCGAGGACAGAGGAGAGAGAGAATCCTCTCTCAGACAGGCCTGTGCAGCTCTGAACCCTTTGGGTTGCTTTGATGGGTGTGACATGTTTTGATCGCTGCAACCGAGCTGGAATAAACCATGATGTGACCGATTGCAGCCCCAACAGTAGTGAGTCTGTTCTATATTACAGACAGGTGTGTCACAGCTTCCTTCCCGTGCCTCTCTGGAAAGATGAGGCCAGTGGAACAAATTGCAACCCAAAGCGCTCCACGAGATATACTGTAAAGAGTAGTGACTTGTGTATCTTGCGGGTGAAACGCGGCAGCCGATTGCAACGTCCCACAAACAGCCATGGAGTGAGCAACCAATCTTATGGGTGAGTGGGGGTGGGGGGTGGGATTGTTAGCCAGGACACCGGGAGAGAGAAACTCCCTTCGCTTTTCGAATAGCGCCACAGGATCCTTAACGTCCCCTGAGCAGCCAGACGGGACCTTGGTTTAACGTCTCATCCAAAGGACGAGACTATTGGGACAATCCCAGTAATGTTCAGACAGTCGTTAAAGATCCCCATGCGGCCGTTGGAGAAAAGAAGGGAATTCCTCCCGGCGTTCCCGACCTACGACCCCCCCCCACCCACCCGGGTAAATCGAGGAACGTGGCTGTGAGCGAACCGGCCAGCACGGTTGCCGACAGAATACACAGTCACTACACTTGACAGCGCGGCCCTTTTGTACCGTTTCTGGATCCAGTGCAGGGGTTAATACTACGATACTGTCTGCGGTTGTTTGCCGGAGCCTTTCTGGCACTGGATCGGCCCAAGGAAGGGGTTAAACAATCCCACAAGTCCAGGGCTCAGATTTCTGTCTTCTCTCCTGATAAACAAGGTGACAACTTGCACTCGCTCACGCACACTCACTCGCTCGCTCGCTCACTCGGAAGTGTTCCCAGCGACTTCTGTTGTTGTCTCACTCACTCACTCACTCCAAACCTCACTCACTCTCACTCACTACGAAATTGATCAGACGGTTCCTGCACTTGGTGGAAGTCTATCTCCTCCTAAACACTAATACTACTACTACTACTACTAATAGTAATAATAAACCTTGCGTTTGATACAGCGCCTTCTCACGTCTTCCAGACGTCTCAAAGCGCAGCGCAGAATATACCGTCAAGTTAATTTGCTGTATATTTTGTGAGCGAAACTTGCTCAAAGCGGCAAAGGCGGAGAGGGAGAGGGAGGGAGAGAGAGAGAGAGAGAGAGCGTGTGTGTGTTTAGCAGAAAGCTGCAGTTAAGTTACACTCCTCTGGTATAAAGTGGTCAAGAGTAAAAGTGGTCTACAGTGAGGCTCAGTGATCCTTATAAACAGGTTTCACTGCTTGAACCTCCCTCCCCCTCTTTCTCTCTCTCTCTCTACTTCTCTCTCTACTTCTCTCACTACTTCCCTTTCTCCTTCCTTCCCATTTTCTCTTTCGTTCTCTCTCTCTCTCCCCTTCATTCCTTCCCTGTCTCTCTCTCTCTCTCTCCCACTCCTTCCTCTGCCTCTCTCTCCCTTCCCTTCTCCTCCTCTGTCTCTCTCCTTCCTCCCCACCCCTACTCTCTCTCTCTCTCTCTCTCTTTCTTTCTCCCTCTTTCTCCCTGGTCCTCTTCCACTCCACTTCGTCTCTGTGGTTTTTTTTTGGGTACCTTACCTCTTCCAGCACAGTCACTGTGTTCCTGCAGTTAATCATCTTGGAGGTGAAGCTGGAGGTGATGGGGGAGCCCAGATCTTGGAGGGTCTCACTCACAAAGTCTGGGTTGCTGATGAACTCTGGCATCTTGTCTGGGGAACAGAGAGGACAGAAGTTGAGAGAAAGAAAGAGAGAGATAGAGAGATCCAGGTGTCTGGCAATCCCTTTTGCAACTGAAGAGAAACTGACTCTAACCCCCACCAGTCACATACACAGCCTCTGGAGAGTTTTTTTCTCTCTCTCTCTCTGTCTGCAAAACTTCTGCCAAACTAATCACGTGAATACAATCTCAGCAAAAAAAAATATAGTGAGCTGCTCCTACTGCCTCCAGCTGAGCTGTGTTTGTATGTGTGTGGAGTGCACAGGTCACTGGAGAAACATTGCCAACCCACATGACAGCCCAAATTTGTGATGTGATTCACCACCACTCCCCACCACCCAAACCCTCTCCCTCCCTACAGCCGAGGAAAACTTTCACGACCCTTCTGCTCGCTCTTTGGTCGCTGCCGCGCTCCAGCCTCCCCTTCTCTCCCTCCCGCTCCCAACTCCCAACTCCCAACGCGCGCCATTTCAAGTTACTCAATGATAATTAAAATCCTCGCGTTGGATTCAGCGGCTTATCGCGTCGTCGAGACGTCTCAAAGCGCCTTCACGCTGCAACTGTGTGTGTGTGTGTGGTGTGTGTGCGTGTGCGGTGGGGTGGGGGGGGGTTGTGTGTTTTGCGGGACAAACACGGCAGCCAGTTTGCGCACGGCCAGTGCAAGGATTGTTATTAATGATTATTATTAAATGCAAACGCGAGGATTTGGTTTGGGTTGAAGGGAGCTCCGAGTCGCTACCCAGCGTGAGGGGGTTCTACACAAATGCAAGTTGTTGTTGGTTTGGTTTGAAACAGAAAGGAGTCAGGATTTGTAGTTTCTGACCGTTCTGCTCAACCGTTTTTTTTGCTGAGCGTTTTTAGGGTGAAACGGCCTCGGAGGCTGGGACTGGGTGGAATTTGGGGCTTATTATTACCCTTATTACTACCCTGACCCACTGAGTCACTGTGGGGAGTTCCCTTCAGGTGTCAGTCTGCACCTGCTGCACTGAACTCCACCCAAGTCACGAGGGAAGGACGATATTCTGGGAGGTCTGACTACTCTGGAGCCAATTTCTGTCCAGTTTTTCCTTGCGTATGAAAATAATTTTCTATTATGTATATATAAAACAACATTTAAACTAATAACATGTGGCTTCAGTGGAATATGTCACAGCTCGGAGAGAGAGCGAGAGGATAAATCGAGGATATTGTTCCATTGAAATCGAGGGTCCTGGCCAATAACAAGGATTCGGATGGTCAGGGGTACGTTGTGGATTGGGATTACAGTAGAGAGCTCCAATGTGGGGGAGCGAGGAGGGTTGGGGGGAGTGAATAACAGCATGGACACGATGCAGGAAAAGAATAGGGGAATGGAATTAGAGGAGGAGTGAGGGAATAGAGCTGTTGAAAGAGAGCAATGACGAGTGAAGGGTGTGGAGGGAAAGAGAAGATATCCCTAAACTCATGTGTGTGTGGTCTACATTGATGTCTCTCTGCTAACTCCACAAGTGCAAGATGCCAATTTACTCAGCTGCAGAAACTGGTATCAAGTCCCAGTGTAACTTCCTCCTCCCTCCCTAACTACAAAAACCTGTGTTTGCTGTAGCTACTCCAGATCTCCCTCTTCCTCGCCCGCCCCCCCCACCCCACCCCCAGGATATCACTGGTTCATGTCAGCGACTGAGAGCAGTTTGGGCTTATGCTCCAGGGCGGGGAGGGGGGGTGGTGGTGGGGGGGGGGGGGCTCTGTGTTGTCGGAGGTGCCGAGCTTCAGGGCAAGACGTTTAATCAAACTTCCGCTGCGGGCAGGCCAGCGTGTGGTGCTTTGCCAAGAGAAAGTCTTCAATTAACCAGGGACACAGATAGCAACAGGCAACACAATAGCTCTGTGCTTGCACTGCCAGCAAATGCATTGAATAGCATCTAACCACCAGCAACAGATGACTTGTCACCAGAGCAAAACCCGAGGCCTTTCACTGCTATTAATGGATAGGGGAGTCATTCACGCTCTCGCCGCCCGCCCCCCCCCCCAACGCCTCGGCCATAAAACTTATGGGTTCAAGCCCCATTGTCAGGATCCCAACTCAGATACAAACTCTTTCACGTCGGGAGGACGTCCGTCCCAAGGGCCTGGATAAATGCAATTTGAGCTCAGTCCAATTCCTGGGGATGGGGGGGGGGATAAGAGGCCTCTGTTGCATAAGGGATGCCGTTCTTCAGAGGAGGCGTTAAACTGACCATAAGTCAGGTGGATGTAAAGAGATCCCGCAAAGCTACCGGTTAAGAGCAGGGAATTTCTCCCAGAATCTTTGACCCTTTTCCCCTCAGGGAAGCTGGTTGTCAACACTACAGGAGACAGGAGGAACAGCACAGGGATGGGAGTCTGGCAGCTTAGTGCATGGGACACAGAGGCAGACAAGCACCTATTTCTCTGCCTGTCACACCCGTGGAGCTGGAAGGTGCAGACTTTGTTTCACCCACAAAAATAGTCATCACACTTTACAATATATCCAATGAAGCACTTTGAGTCATCCCAACGACATAATGTTGAACGCAAGTATTACTGTTAGTCGAATTCTGCTCCAGGGGCCTTGGGACGGTCTTCCCGCCGTGAAAAGCCCTGTATAAATGTGACTTGTGTTTTTTCTGGGTGCAAATTGACTGCTGGGTTCACGAACCAAAAAAAAAAAGCATTAACAGCATATTAAGCATTTCACTGGGTTAAGTTTTCTCTCTCTCGCGCTCTCTGAATGACAATGTACTGCCTCTTTACCCAGGGTTTGTTGTCACCAAATTCTTTTCTTCCCCGCTCTGCATTTCTCCGCAGTGCTGCTCCAGTTAAACTGGTTTCCGTGACAATTCGTGTCTCGACCTGCCCTGCACCTTCCAGGGAAGAACTTTTATTGCCTCGCTCTCTGCTTTCCTCCCCCCACCACACCAGGGCTTGTGCTCAAAGTCTAACCTGATTCTCCCCAGACAACACCTTGCCTTTATGCAGGTCTCTTCACATAAGATAGAATAGATAACTGCTCCGAGACACAGTCCGTCCGGCATGAAGGCCTCTACATAAATGCAAGTTATTGTAGAATAATAATCCTCGTACCTTATCTCATCGTTGAGATGTTTCAAAGCACTTCACAGGAGTGACTGAGTATTTTGTGGGCGATACGCAGCAGCCAATTGCACACAGCAGTGTCCCATAAACAACTGTGGATTGAGTAACCTATTTTTTTGGGGGGAAGGGGGAGTTGGGAAGGGATTTTTACCCCGAGAAGCGCTTGCAGGAGGGGTACGTCAAACACAACAGCGGATCCTCTCCCCCACCCCTTTAAAACGAGCGAAAGCTTCACCACAAACGAGAGACTCAGAGAAACTGAGGAAATGGATCTTTATTTTTAGTCCTAATCAAGTGCCACGCTTAATTCTTCACATTTTTTTTTAAAAAAAGCAAAAAAAAAAGCACAAGAAACCCAAATTTTACAAATTCGATATCCTAACATTCCCTTTTTATAATAATGATGATGATGAAAACCAACACAAACAAATCATCTTAAATACATTAGTGGAAACTAAGGCAACAATTCAGACCACGGAGGATAAAAAAAAAACCTATACAGTCCACCGCCCGGGTCTATGTACAATTTTACAGCCACGGAGAGAGGGAGAGAGAGTGCAGCGTTGGTTTGAGACCGGATGTATTTACACAAGACTTTAAACCACAGCTACCCAGTGAGTCTCAGGTCGGTTCATACTCTTTCCCCTTCACCCCCACACATCCTCCCCAAACTGGTCAATAAACCCAGGATTTTCCTGGTTTGATTCGACAGGAAAATGGTTAACAGGCGATCTACAGCCCAGTGACTACAGAGAGGGTCTCCAGCGCTCACTTACGCACACTTGGTAATGTCATCGTGGCAACCATCAAGGAGGGAAGAGGAACAAGGGGGAGGGATGGAGTTAAACACAGCGACAATCGAACCCAGAGACTGTCCCACGCAAAACTCGGGGACGCGGTCAGTCAGTTTGGGGATTTTTAAACAAAAATTAAGTCACAAATTCGACATAGTCAGTGTGTGAGAGAGAGAGAGAGAAACACAGTGTGAGAGGGGGAAAAAAAAGTGCAGGGATTTCTAATGCCATCGCTCAACTGGCACAGAGGTCAGATTCTGGCTGGTTGGCAGTGCCCGCCTCGTTTGCTGTGCGCTCGTATAAAAAAAATAAACAAGGTTAAAAGGCAAGAGGAAGGCGCTGGAGTAAAACACAAGACGACACACTGGGCTCTCCCCAACCTTTGGGAAATCCACGCAGAAGATTACAGACGTTTCCGGCCTCAAGAGCCTTGTATTAAAGCCCGTCATCACTGGCCGACACTGTACACAACTCTACAGTAAAAATAAAACCTTTAAGAAAAAGTTAGAAAACTCTTTTGACGCGCACGCACCACACACAATATTAAACCTAACACGCACGCCATCTGCAAATATTAATCTACAGTTTTTCCATGACAGTATTTTAAAAACATATTAACAAAAACTTACAAGTTTAAAGGTTGCCTGAGTTAGGGGCGGGGAGTGGGGGGGGTGGGTGGGGGAGAGAGGAGAGGGGCAACGGCAATTTTTTTTTTTTGGAGGTGGGCGTCGAGAGGACATCGGCTACTTGCAAAATATCCTTTCGAAACACCACGTGAAGGTGTTTACCAACGCCGGTTAGGATCAAGTCAAGGAGAGAATCTATTCACAGGGAACTGTGTTTTTCTCTGGGTGGGTGGGGGCGGGGGGTTCTGGAGCAAAAGAGGATTTGAAGACTGTTTTATTAGCTTGGGAATCAGAGGAGAAACTTAATTATTCGGTCGTGTTCGAAACGAGCGTCCGTTTATACATAAAAGTGCCAACCGAGCCCCCCCCCTTCCCCCCCACTCACCAAAAGCTGCCCCCACCCACCCATTTCTGGTCAGCAATGCCGCTGTTAAGGCGCACGGAAAATCCATTCATATGGACCAACAGTCAGGGAAGTCCCCAATTTGGGATAATTACGGAACGGTTTGTACACAGCCCACACCCCCCCAATCATCTCTTAGCAAATATCTCCCCCCCCCCCCCCCTCCCCAACCCCCAACACACACGTAACTGGTCCCAGAGGGAAGAAAGTGATGTCACCAGGACAGAGGCAGGAAAAGACACTCCCAATGGCTGCGTTCAGGGACCAGACAATTATGCAACAAGAGGCCACAGAAAACAGAGGCAGGCGGGTCCCACAGACCGAGGCAATCAGCAGCGCCCACAATTGCAGGAGGGACGGGAAAGGTGCTCGAGACAGTTGCTCGAGGCTCAAACATCCCGTGAGTCAGCGAGGGGGTGAAGCAACAGGCCACGGATACAAGACCGACAGGTGTGATGGGAAACGAAATCATTGGTGCAGTTCCCGATGGGACCACCTCAGATTCACCTCTGTCTGCCCTGCCTCGGCGGGTCCATGGAGAAATTTACAGGATCAGAACCAGGATGGGAAGGGCTTAGCTATACGACAAGAGGGTGGCAGATGAGGCTTGTATTAACATCACAGTTGAGAAGCCTAGAGGCTTGCGGTATTTTTTTTTTTGTCCGCTGGGTGTATGACGTGCACGGAAACTCGTTGCTGCCTGTGCTTAAGAGTCTCCGAACCAGTCAAAAGTCCCACATGTGACACTGGCACATGGCTCCGGACGTGAATGCCAGACACGTGAATTCCACGATCCAGAATTGGCTATGAGACAGAAAGCGGAGAACGGTAGTAAGCGGTTACTTTTCTGACTGGAGGGAGGTGTGTAGTGGTGTCCCTCAGGGGTCAGTATTGGGACCACTGTTCTTTCTGATCTACAGGGATACAGCGAGCACAATTTCCAAAATTTGCAGACGATGCTAAGCTAGGGAAAGTAGTTAATGGTGAGGAGGAGAGCACCAGACTCCAAGAGGACTTAGACAGATTGGGAAAATGGGCAGAAACCTGGCGGGTGAGGTTTAATGCGGAGAAATGCGAAGTGTTGGATTTTGGTAGGAAAAATGAGGAGACAGTATAAGCTAATGGTACAACCTTAAAGGGGGCAAATGAACAGAGACCTGGGGGTCCACAAGTAGATAAAGCGGTTAAAAAAGCATATGGGATACTAGGTTTTATAAATAGGGGCATAGATTACAAAAGCTAGGAAGTTATGTTTAATATTTATAAAATGCTGGTTAGGCCTCAGTTGGAGACTGCGTTCAGTTCTGGGCACCGCACTTTAGGAAAGATGTTCGGGCATTGAAGAGGATGCAAAGGAGGTTTACCCGATGGTACCAGGAATAAAGGACCTTAGTTATGAGGAGAGGTTAGCAAAACTAGGATTATTCTCCCGAGAGCAGAGAAGATTAAGAGGGGATTTAATAGAGGTTTTCAACTTCATGAGAAGGTTTGATAGGTTGAACCGGGAAAAACTGTTTCCACTGGCACGTGGGTCAGTAACCCGAGGACACCGATTTAAGTTAGTTGTTAAAAGAAACAGAGGGGAGGTTAGGAATTTTTTTTTCACACAGCGAGTTGTTCAGATCAGGAAACCATTACCTGAAAGGGTAGCGGAAGCCGAGTCAATAACAACTTTTAAGAGAGAAGCAGATGGGTATTTGGGGAGAACACTACAGGGCTATGGAGAGAAAACGGAGCAGTGGGATTAAGTTGAATTCCTCTTTTCGGAGCCACGATGGGCCGAATGGCCTCTTTCTGTGCTGTATGATTCCATGGACTCAGTAAACATTTCCTCCCTCAGAGGATTGTGAAAACGTGGCATGCGCAGCACAGCCACAGAAGCAGAATACTACCGGGACGCTTAAAAACAAATAGATCGATAAATAAAATGGCAATTTGGGAAGGAGGGGGCAGATAAAAGGCAGGGAATTGGGAATGAATAAAAGGTTGGCCGACTAATTCATAAAATGGCAGAATTGGAGTTAAAAAAAAGCTCTCTTTGTTGGTCTACAAATAGAGTGAATGCACTCAACGCATCAAAAGATTTGATCAGTTATTGCGGCTGAATCAAAGGCAAGGATAATTATAAACAGAATGTGCAAAATGGATTGGGGCGGGTGGGTGGTTGGGAAGAGAGAGAGAGAGAGAGAGATTGGGCTGTGAAGTTGGCAAAGGGTAACCCTGGCGAGGGTTCGCGACCAATGGTGTAAAGTCACCTGGCTGAATCCAAGATCGAGGCTAAACAAACAAAAGGTAAAAAGTCGGGCAAGAATAAGCCAAACAGGAACCCCCCCCCACTCGAGGTGGGGCTCAAGGCAAGACGTCAACTACAACCAAGCTCCAGAAATCCACCATCAGTCCAAACAGAGACTATTTCCGCCCCTCGTGTCACCGGTTATCGGAGCTGGTGCCCGTACCAGGGAGTCCTCTCTCTCTCTCTCTCTGTCTCTCTCTCTCTCCCCACTATGTCCAGTTGCCCCCAGTGGTTTGAGGTTTTTGTTTTGGAACCTGTCTAACTCCCAATTTAAGCAGTTTAGCAAGCTGGAGGCAACGGAGCATTCCCATGCAACCCTGGGCTAGAATCCAGGCAACGTTGCCGCCCTCTGGCGGTAGCGAGCAAATACTTCAGGAGCACACCCCTTAAAACCCGTCGATCGACGGGTAACCAGTCAAAGAAGCCCCATGGGGTGGCTGGATCCGGTGACCGGGTGCCCCAACCCCTCGGCAAACTGGTCCTTCACTGCCTGGCCGTCGGCAGGACACCCCTTGCCATCTACAAGGCCAGCCCCCAATCCAACAGTCACTACGCTCTGACGTCAATTCACCCCCCAAAGAGTCTCGAGACGTTTCAACGTTGCTTGCATCGAAGTCAAGGGTCATTACGGATAACGGGTTGGGGAGAGAGTCGAGTTGTTCAAAGTAGTTTAAATAGAGGTTTAACTAGGTCAGGTTTGTCAGTGACTAGCTTAACTTTGGTCAGTTAACCACGTTCATATATTTTTTTTAAAAAAATCCTACACGCGTTATAAAAGACAACAGCACAAATCACCCCACACTTCACACTCACACCACCCAACTAACAGACCGAGCGGGACTCCGAGCTCCAACTGCTAACACTGAGTCGCACTGTAAACGCAGCAAAAAAAAAATATATCTCTCTACATATTGAAACCCACTCACTGTAAACGCACACACGCACACACCTTCCATTACGTCAAAATATAACTGTACAAATTAAGGTTCTTTTTTTTAAAAAAAATTCCTATTTACACATCAACAAATGCTCATTTCGAGTGAGTCTCAAATCTTATTTTGCGATTCAGTGAAAACACCTTAATTTTTTTTTGGGGGGGTGAGGGGGGGTAGGGGTGCATTTTGATACCCAGCACCGCCCCCCCCCCCACTCCTCCGCTAGGCTTAAAAAAAATACAGTACTTAATTTCTTCAAATGGAAAAGATTTTTGGTCAGGGGAGGGGGGGAATAAGAGGACTGACCAACTGAGTCCTTGGCTAGTTTCTCAGAATAGACACGGGACACTTTATGAAATAAAAACCGAAGGAACAACTGGCCGGCCAGGCAGCGTCTAACGGAGAGAGGAAAATGAGTTAACGTTTCTGACCGATAACCTTTCGGCACCTGAACTCTCTTGACAAAAGGTTCTGATGAAAGGTCGTCGGCCTGAAACATCAACTCGGTTTCCTCTCGCTCTCTCTCTCTCTCCATAGATGCTGCCTGACCCGCTCAGGTGTGTTCCCAGTTCCTTCAGCTTTTAATCCAGATTTCCAGCATCTGCAGTATTTTGCCTTTTGATAGATACGCTTTAATCAGTCTGTTCCGCCCTCCCCTATCACACCGAGTGTATGTCCTGAGTGATTTTCAGATTATTAAGCAATTTAAACAGGAGGTTGATAACAGCATTCATTTCCCCCCTCCTGGACAACACACACACACACAGCCCCCTACCTCCCGCCCCCACACTCGCGCAAAAAGACCTACTAATTTTTGTACCGTTTACATTTGTAAAATGTAAGACTTAAAACTTTTCTTCCTATATATAAAACAAATGAGCGAGGGCAGGGACCGACGATTTTGCAAACGTCAAGTAGAAAGTGAACCGGGCCACACAAGATACCAGCTCTCTTCGCCGAGCCCCCCACCCTCGCATCAAATTTTCTTTTTAAAAAAAGAGGTCACCCCCCCCCCCCGCCAATAACGAGTTAATGTTAGATGAGCGACGACTGCGGAAGGGGGCGGAGGGGGAAAGAGATGGAAAGCCAGAGACTAGTTCTGAAGTAGTTCGTCCAGGTCGTAGGAGTCGAAGAGGTCGCTGACACCCTCCCCGTCCTCCAGGCTCCACAGGTAATCCTCGCGGTCGAGCGTGGGCGAGAAGCTGACGAAGGGGGTGTCGGAGTAGGAGCTGGAGGGCAGCTGGTCCTCTGTCTGCTGCAGCAGGTTGTGGGGCAGCCCCAGGACCCCGTCCTCGCAGTCCAGCAGAGAGGTCACAGCCACCGGCTTCGACACCTCCACTGCAAGACAAACGACCACAGAAATCCGACACTTGTCGCCACAGACCCGTCGCACAAATCACCCCACGCTTCACACCCACTCGCACAACCCAACCGACGGACCGAGTCGGGTTTCCGAGGGTTAACGCCCCCCCGACACACTAACAGCCAATGTCAGGTGAGGGCATCTCGGCTCTCACCCCCCACCCCCCCATTGTAAAACTCACCCCCCAGTAACATTGCTCGTTTCCCTCTGGACGAAGACATCTTTACGATATCTAACGTCTGACTCAACTAACCTCAGATGGTAAAATCACATGCCCACCTCCCTCTCCCCCCACACCCTCGAATTCCCGTTGAATCCAACTCGATTCCAAGCATCCAGAGTGTTCCAGTCAGCCACCGCTCAGTGGGGGGGAGCCAATATTTGCCAATCAGAAGCCCAGCGACCAGCTAAGCCTCGGTGGGGCGGGGGTCCCGATTGCGTACCTTGTACGGGAGGCGTGGCTGCTCCCGCCCCGCCCTGGAAGTGGGCTGCCGAGCCTCGCTGGGGTTTTTTGGGGGTGCTGCTCTTGCCCGGGCTGCTCTCCTCCAGCACCTCCTCCGGACACAGGTAGACCTCGATGGGGCCATTTGTGCTCTTCAAGTAAATCTGCAGGTTCTCCTGTCAATGCAACACAAGCTTTCTGTCAGCCAAGGCTTCCCTCTCTCCCCGACCCACAGAAGAATTTGTTTGGGATGGGGGGGGGGTTAGGAGAAGAATTCCAGAGTCTCTGTCCATTTAAGAGTTCTAGATCTCTACCCTGCGTGAGAGGCACTATATAAATCCAAGTTATTGTAGTATTTTCTCCCAGGAAGTAGACTTGACCCCCAAAAAACTGGCTGGTTTGAGGTTGAACATGTAATGGGGTCAAGATTAACTCTCTTCCCCTCCCACCCCCCCAGGAGAAGTAGCCTGAAACAACCGATGTGTTCCCCACCCAATCTGATAATTAGCCCAATGTTGGTGGAAAGAATGAACCATCCACAGAAAGAGAGAGAGAGAGAATTGGGACGATAAGCCAAATTGCGGTGGGGTCATGTTAAACTCGGAGTTTATTAAGGATAATAATTCTTGTATTTGATATCGCGCTTTATCACCGCATTGAGACGTCTCAAAGCGCGTCACGGAATATACCGTAAAGTGGATTGGCCGTGCATTTTGTTAAACAGATAGAGGGAGGGAGGTGGTGCAGAGAGGAGCAGGAAGGGCTTACATCGATGATGTCCGGCACCTCTAGCCTGGTCTCTGGCGGAGCTTTCACCGCGATGACCGTCTGGTCCTTGAAGCTGCCGACGGAGCAGATGTCTTGGTACGTGACGTACGCGAGCGTGGGGAGAGTTGAGGCAAAATGATGTGGAGAGGTGTAGAGAGGTCTCCCTCAATCCCCCCCCCCCCCCCCCCACCACCACCGGCTCGGCCACTGTTAAGCGTTCCGAGTCGCTTCCCTGCGGGGAGGGCGCGATGTAAGTGCAAGTTGTTGTTGCGGAGCAACAGAAGCACACGTTTCTCTCGCACGCGCACACTCAATGTGTCACACACGCACCCGGAGAGCTCTTCGCTGGAACTTACTGTCCACGCTCCAGGCACGGCGCGCACAGCGGGAAGCGCCAGCCATCGACCGCGGGAGAAAAACCCGAGAGCTCCAAACCAGCTTCCGGCTTGCAGAACCCCCAAGCCCCGAGCCCCGCGCAGTAACCGCGGCGGCCAGCAGGTGCCGCTGTCGCCGTCGCTTCCGCGGCTGCAATGGCGGCCACAGTCCAGCAGGTGTCGCTGGGCGGCGATGGGGGAGGGACTCCCGAGTTTCCCCACCCAGGAAGGGCGAACGTCGACATTACATATAAAAAAAATTTGCTGACCACAGTGAGGCCTTGGCTCACCTCCATTATCCTAATGCATTCCACTTAGAGGAGCGTTGTCCTTACAGACGAACCCCAAACCCCCTCCCGCCCCAACCCCCCACCCCCCAAAAAACTCCACAGCCCAAATTGTCAAAGGACCACGCGGACCTAAACCATGTCTCGGCGAGCGCCCAAGCAATTAGACCGGGCGAATGTCCCTCCGCCTGCTTACGTCACCTCCTCCCTCCCTCCCGCCCCGGCTCGGGGTCAGGCTCCACACCACCGTTGTGCGCCGGCCGAGCCGCGCGAAGGGGGCGCCGCGTAAATGCAAGTCGCCGTTGCTGTGGGCGTGTGGGGGAAAAGGATATCTCTGGTTGTCGCTGTCGTCAGTCAGCTCTTTGAGCTGCGCGCTGCACGTCTGGATCAGATCGTCAAGCGACGTCTCTCGCCGCATCACCTCCAGCAGCTCCTGCCTCAGGGCGTGCTGCCTCACCACAGCCGCTGGATCCTCAAACAGGCTGCGGCCCCTGGGGGGTGGGAGTGGGGGAGGGGGCGCCCCGCGCGTGGCGGGGGGAAGAAGAGGGAGAAAGTTAGCAGAGCAGGACATCAAGACTCTCACAATCGCCCCCCCCACCCCACTCCATCACCCATCCATTGGGGGCAAAGGCTTGCTCTTTCTTCCACCCCCGTTCCCCCCCAAAATCAGAATCACCCCATACAGTTGGTAGATGTCCGAACTCTTCCCCCCCCCACCACCTCCCCAACCCTCTTCCTGGACGCAAATGGTTGCCCTCGGGAGACTCCAGCGCATCTCCCACTCCCCGCCAGCCTGCCCGCTGCCTTCCCCGTGGATGGAATGCGTTCTGGCGAGGTGGCTGGGAAACCCACCCCCGCCCCGTCTCTCTCTCTCTCTCTCTCTCTCTCTCCGCCTTGTGCCCACCCCCCACCCCAGGGCAGGACATTTTGAAAGGCCGGCCAGCCGTTTCCTCACATCCACTGAATGTTGTTCTTGGATTTCTTGCGGATCAGCTGGATTCCCTCCAGGACGTTGGTGATGTCGTAAATGCGGCGTTTCTGCACCTCCAGCACCTCGGCCGCCCGGTTCAGGTCCAGCACGCCGTCCGGGGACTCGCTCAGCAACTGCACAAACTTCTTGGTCAGGAGCCCCAGCGACGTGTCGTACCGGGTCTTCTCCCCCGGGGACTTGGGGGCTGCGGTCGAGGACACACATCGTCAGGAAACACGCGTGGAGGGTACTCTCACCCTCCCGCCCATTCCCCTTCTCCCCAACCCCCATCAACTCTCCTTCCCTCATCCTCACTCCGCCAATCCCCCCCCCCCCGCCAAGCCCTCTCCTCCGTCCACCTGAACAGAGCGGTTTGGACGGGGGAAGATCGGTTTCACGTCTCACCTGAAGCGACGGTACCTCTGACAACGCAATGCCCCCTTTTTCTCACCCCCCCCCCCCCTCCGTACTGTGCTCACGCTCCGCGGCCACCGCCGACACTCACTCTTCGGGCTGGGAACTCTGGCTGGCGTCTTTCCTTTGCCTTTGGGAGTTCGGAATTCTGGTAAATACGGGTGATCATTCCCTTCCAAGTCCAGCTTCCGCTTCGCCTGGAAAAAAAAACAGAACAAGTCCGTCTCGGAATTCAAGGGGGAGGGGAGGGAGAGAGAAAGAAAGACCAGGATCCCCTTTAGGGCCACAAATATCTCCGTCTCGTCTGTAATTGTTATATTTAGTGCATAGACTGAACAAGGCCGCCCTGTCCACAATGCGTGTGCGTGTAATGAGGGACCGAGCCAGACCCCCCAACCACTGATTATCTCGCTGTGAACTAACTGACTGTCACAAAACACGGGACACCGCCCCATTTTACGGTATATCCCGTGAAGCGCTTCGCTCGGCCTCAATGATGGGACACGGCCCTGCGTCAAATGCAAGGATTGCTATTGGAGCGAGCACCAGGACGGACACGATAGGGGGAGGGAGAGAGAGAGAGAGCGCCAATGAATCAGAGACAAATTTAGGAGGTAATTATCAAGACGGGGAAGGGGTGTGGGGGGGAGAGATTAACGACATTTTTTTCGCGCTCATTAGTTTCACTGACCGCACGTCACCCTCACAGGTGAACGAATTGGTCAAAGAGTTCAGACCTCCCGTTGAGTGTCAGGTTCGTGGTTATGTGACGGATGATTTATCTCTCGCTGACCCGGCCTCGCCCAACCCACGCACGGGGGGGGGGGGACAAAGTACAGCCAACTCCCTCGGCCAAGGACAGGTTTTAAAGGTGGGGCTGATTTGTTGGCGCCTAAAAGAGAAGTGGCTTCACCCTGATAACCACTCAACTCACTCTCACTCCTCCTTTCACTTACTCATTCACTCTCTCTCTCTGCGCGTGTGTTTCGCAAGCGCTCTAGGACGCTACACCGCGCGAGAGGCGCTATATAAATGCGAGTTGTTGTTGTTTTTCTCCTTCTCTTACCCCAATTCCCCCCTCTCTTGGCCACACGCACCAACGGTTTCTTTCACCCGCTCGCTCACTTTCCAGTTCATCTTTCCCTCTGCGTCCTCTCGCACTTTCTCGCTCGCACACACATCCACTCATTTTCTCAACTCTCTCCTCTCGTTCATTCTTCCCGTCTCTCTTTCTCACACTCTTTCCCCACCATACCCCCCCCCATCACACACTCCCTCCCTCCCTCTCCCCCCATCCCCATAACATCTCAGGGCTCGGAAATCACAGTCTCGGGATCATCACAAGTCAACGACACCAATCTCTGCGCCGGATACAGCATCAAAAAGTCTCAAACCCAAAGTGTAGCGACTGTGGATTTGTTGGCAAATAGTCCGAACTAAACCAACAACTCTCCTCTCCAACCCCCACCCCCCCCACCACCAATAAAATTGGGTTATCCACCCCATAGCTATTTGCTGTCACCCACAATACGTCACTCCACTTTTATCATTTCACAGTGAATCCCTCCCCCCCCTCCTCCCGGAAAATACCGGAAAGGAAAAACGTTGGCGGACGAAGGCTCGGGAGCAGAGGAGCGAGCGGAGAGCTTGTTCACAGACCCCGCACTGGTGGACCGAATGGCCTCCTTTCTTCCTTCCTTCTCTGTGATACAAACAATCTGTCGTTGGACAAGAGGAGGGGGGGGGGGGTGGGGGTGGGTGGGGGGAGAGAGACATTAGGACCCAGAGGAGGGCCTTTGTGTACTCAGAGCAGCTGTTAACTCATTCCCGCCTGAACAAGTGACAAGGAATCCCGCGCGGAAATTACTCCAGCGCCCCCCCCCCCTCCTCCCCAAGGGACGGATCAGGCGGGAAAGGACAGGGACAGGAGGGGGGGGAGGGGCTGCACATTGAAGAGGCCTCTTTACATGAAAGTATCCCTCCATCCGAGCGGAGCTTTGTGAATGAACGGAGTTGCCCCCTCCCCCCCACCCCCGACACCGCGCGGCACCCGGACCCGGCGCTTTTCTCTCGACGCCCCCCCCCCCCCCCGAACCGGTCCAGAGCGAGAGATATACAGCGCGAGAGAGAGAGAGAGAGAGAGAGACTCCCTTCTCTTTTCCAAAAGTGACGCGGGATCTTTAACGTCCACCAGAACAGAGGACAGACGGACGGACGGAGCGGTTCGGTTTGGTTTAACGTCTCACTCCAAGGACAACGCCACTGGCAACGCAATGCTGCCCCCCCCCCACCACCACTGTGGTGGAGCGTCAGCCTAGACCATGAGCTCAAAGTCCTCGAAGTGGGGTTTGAACCCCACAACCTTCTGTTCCCCCCACCCCAAGGCATAAAGGATCGTTTCACTGCAATAGCAAAAGCGAGTAGACAAGACCCACCGGTGGGGGGAAAAAAACACACACACACTGAAACTCAGGAGCTGCCTTAACATTCCCCCAAACCCCCCCCCCTCCCACCCCCCACCCTGAGAATTGACGACAGCAAAGTGGGAACTTAGGAAGGAACAGCGTCCGACTGTGAGGAGGCTACTCGCTGTCTGCCGAGGTCCCACCCCGAATGATTAGCGTGAGGCCGTCAGTCTGCACACACTGCGATGAGGAGCTCTCCCCCACCCACCCCAACCTACAAGGCTTTAGTTCTGGTCAATAACACAATATTCCCAATTTAAGGAACAACGCATATATATATATATTGAAAAAAATCTTTCCGCAATTCTCCAATGAACCCGCCCGGGTAAATCAATCCCTTGCATCGCTGCACGGCCACTGGCAATAGGAACCCAACTTGTGTGCGAATTACCGACCTACACAGTTACAGTCACTACACCAGGCAGCGAATGGGGGGGGGGGGAGGGGGGATTTAATACCACCCTCTTCAGCCCCCCTTATCCCTCCCACAAGCCAATTGTGGAGTCTGTAGCTCAGTGGTTAGAGCACTCGCTTTGCAAGTGAGAGACCTGAGTTCAATTCCAGGCAGAGGGTGAAACCTTGGGCAAGTTTCCTTACTCCACACAGAGCCTAATAATAATCCCTCCAAAACCAAAAACAATAATAAATTGGTCATTTTTCAATCTACAACTGTTTGTGGGACATTGCTGTGCGCAATTGGCTGCCGCGTTCGCCCACAAATATACAGTCAATTCGCTTTACAGTGTGTTCTGTGAAGCGCTTTGGGACGTCCTCCCGACGTGAAAAGCGCTATATCAAATGCAAGGATTATTATTATTATTATTACTAATTAAACGCGGCAAACAGCCAGCAAACCTCGTCACCTGCTCGGCAGGTTGAAAATAATCGCTGGGAATAAAGATGGAACTGGTTGAACCAATGTCCTGTCTCTGCCTGTTCAAAGTGGACGTTAAAAGTCTCGCAAGCAATGTGAGGGGAGGGGGAGTAAAAAGAAAAGAAAGAGGGAGTTGCTCTCTCCTGGTGTCCTGGCCGACAATTACTCCCCCCACCCCCAACCCCCACGGATAAAATTGCTCGCTCACGTTCAGACTGGTTGCAGGATGTCGCTGAGCAAATTGTTTCCCCGATCCGTTCACAAAATTCACAGCCACTGCACCCTCAAGAGCAAATCGCGCGGAGCACGTTGAGACGCCCTCTCCTGACATAAAGGCGCTGCAACAAATGCAACGATAACGATTATTGTAATAATTAAAATAACTGCTCCAAATGGTGTCCCGCAAAAGTCCGAGGGGCAGGATCATCCAGCAAATAAACCAGGGGGGTAATTAAAAATTTAATTAGTGCCCGACTATGACCAGGAAGAGATTTCCCCTCTTAATAATGCAGCCCACACAAGGCGACCTCGCTGCGCCGGCCAGTCTCACTCTCTCGGGGCTTCTCTGCTCCAGGGCAACAAGACCGAGACTAAGACCAACGCAGGTCCACACAGCCAGGGGACTGGACCCTGTGCTGGTCACGTAGCTTTGGCCCTGTGATGGGAGTCCGGGTGGGATCTCATGAGCCAAAAAGGGCCTCCTTCACCCACGATCCGGTGATGGGCCGATTTCGGTCCAAGTTGACATTTCACTCATTACCCATCTCAGTGCCAAGTCAACCCTCAGTCACTAGGCCTCAAGGACAATAACCTTACAGACATGCAATCTTCTGAAATGTTTTAAATTGGGGGTGGGCTGCAGGGCATAAAGAGAGAGAAGACAAAGAGGATATTTGACTCTTCATTGGAACATCACAGGTTCAATCATCTAAGGCACCCGTCACTTCCAGTCCAATCGCTCGTCACCCCATCAACCTGATCGATCTCAAATTGGAACCATAGAAAAATGCAGCACAGGAGGCAATTTGTCCCATCGTGTTCTGGCTCTCAGAAAGAGCGATCAACTTAGTCCCATTGCTCTACACTCCCCCTCCCCCTCTTCCCTCCCCCCCACACTATATTTCTCAGTTTCAGATATTTAAGTTAGAAACAGAAACACACCCCGGGGGTGGGGGGGGGGGGGAAGGGGAGAAATTGCAGGAGAGAACACTTATGTCCATCTCAAAGTCAGGTGAATCGGTGAGCGCGCTTGCCTCGCGAGCAAGAGGACCCGGGTTCGACTCCCGGGACGGGCAAAACCTTGGGACCAGTTTCCTTAGTCCCGTACCCGTCCATTTAACCAGCGTTAAGTAGGTGTGCTTCATGGGGACATTGGGGAATCCTGAACGGTGTGTGGGCAGGGTGGGGGGGGGGGGGGGGGGGAGGGGGAGAGTCAGAAGGAGTTAATCAAAAAGGTTCAGCCACAAAGATTAGGAGGATTGTGGAAGCAGGACTGGTAAGAGAGGGTAGGGACGGTCGGTTTAACATATGAATTAGGAGCAGGAGTAGGCCATTCAGCCCCTCGAGCCTCCCCCGCCATTCGATAAGATCATGGCTGATCTTCTGACCTAACTCTGATTACCCGCCCTATCCCCATATCCCCGAATCCCTCTATTTTTTTAAAAAAATCTATCAGTCTCAGCCTTGAAGATGTTCAAGGACTGAGGATCTACAGCCTTCGGGGGGGAGTGAATTCCATAAATTCACTGCCCTCCGAGTGTAGAAATGTTTCCTCAACTCTGTTCTAAAAGGCTGACCCTTAATTTTAAGACTGTGACCCCCGGTTATAGCTTCTCCTACCGGGGGAAACAGACCCCCTGATTCTTCTGTACTCTGGAGAATACAGCCCTGGTTTATTCAGCCTATCCTCGTAGGTCGGTCCCTTCATCCCAGGAACTAACCGAGTGAATCTACGCTGCACCCCCTCAGGGTTTGGCTACACGGGGTACTGGGATAGGGGAAGGTAACGCGCTGCGTTAAAGTGCCCTAATCACAGGTGATTGGAGTAATCCTGACACAGGTACGTAACAGAAGGATGTAACGACATTAACAAACCCCTTCTACATTCCCACCAGCAGCTGAAACTACCCGGGAACACATAACCACCCTTGGATTTGATGTAGCGCCTCATCGCGGTGTTGGGACGTCTCAAAGCGCTTCACAGTAAACTGACTGCATTTTGAAAACAGCGCAGGAGAGACTGATGGTATCCCCCCCTCCCCTCCCCACCCACCCACCCACCCAGCCTCACTGTAATACAGGAGGGGAAAACTCTCCCATTCTCAAACAGATTCTCTCTTTCCTCCCCCCCCCCCCCCCACCCCACCACCGCCCCCATACCAATCAGGTCTAACAGGACTCATTTAATAATATTCCTGGCATTTCACACAGCACCAGGGCCGTCAAAACATCTCAACACGCTCGGCAAGATTTCACTGTAGTGACGCCCAGCAACGTCCCACAAACAGTCCCAAAGTAGACAACCAATTGTATCTGGTGGTGGCGGTGGGGGGGGGGAAGAGAAACTCCCTTCTCTTTTAGCGCCGTGGGAGCTTCAACACCCCCCCCCCCCCCGGCTCGAACAGATGCAGTTGAGGGGAAGCTCGATTTAAGCTCCGGTTTGAAGGCCACCGTCCCGTCCCCCCCCCCACCTCCACCCTCGGAACTATCAGCGAGTAGAAGGTCCTGCAAATGGTTAGCGTCCTCCCGACTCGAAAGGCGCTCCATCAATGCGACTTGTTGTTGTCGTTGTCGTCATCGTCTGCGAATATCTTCCAGGAAATAAAAGGTTGATATCTGACACGCACACACACGCCCCCCCCCCCCACCACCATAAATAAATTAAGAGCAGAAACGTAGAACATCAAGTCAGATCCTGTTCTGCGGGGTAGAGATATAAAGAGGCGGACTCTAAAGATTTCAGATAGGGTTAAATTTGACCAAGTCCCCCCCCCGTCCCCCCCCAGCCCCCCTCTCCGCAGCCCTTCTTCGTCTCCCACTTTGTTTACCAGAGCTCAACGACAACCCAAAAAAAAATATTTGCCACAGAAGGCCGATCGGTTTCACTTTCGCAGAGGGGTGGGGGCGAAAAAAAGTAGGTAAGAGGGAGGGAGCGAAAGAGCAAAGAACTTCTTGCAGCAAAGTCCTGAACATTGACCCCTCTCTCTTTCTCTTTCTCTCTCTATCCCTCTC